GGTATTTTCTATTAATTCGGTAATTCGTGGCTCTAGTATATTTACTAAGATGTCTAAGTACGTCTCGCCCGTTAAGTTTCCAGGAATAAATAAAGGACCTACAATACGACTTCCGAAAATGCCGGCCCATACATTTATGTTTTAGGATATTGCGAGTGTACCTATCGAAACAAATGTGGATTCGAGTCACTCCAATATCGATAATTATGTCTATTTACCGCACCATTAGACGAATATTAGACACATATCCAGTTTCTTAAAATTCTCTTATCAACTTAGCCACCCACATACTTATCGTTAATATTTTTGTCTGGATTTAGGTAATACAGTTTTGTTATTTCTACCCTTTCTTTAACTGGAAAAGTCATTGTTCAATGTTTGTCACAAATAGGTAGGTAACTTAACAATTTGAAATGAAAGACAAAGTTTTTCTATGACATACGATGACACTGATTGATGCTAAATGTTCTTGCTAGTATCCATGATTATTATTTTTTGCCGTGCATTCCATTATAATCAGTATTAAGTTAGTTGGACTTTATTATAAACTCAAATAGCTTCACAACGATTGAAGATAGGTATCAACTTTATCATCAAGTTACTAAAAATTTCACGGAATATCTACGAATTAAAAAAAATATGGATGTTTCCATTTAAAAATCTAAATAGCTTATTTTTGGATCATTGTTCGGCTATAAATAAAAATACGTCCCCCTAGAAATCAAAATTGACGTGTCCGAGCGTTTTTCCCAAAATATACCAGGAGAGTCACAGATGGGGGTGCGACCTTTTCGTTGGTCCACCTTGTATATGCTCAGATCTTGCAAGCTAGCCTGAACCATATATCTGGATGGCGAATGAATGGTAACCAATAAATTATTTATAATAACAACCTTTATTCCAATGGGATAGACCCAATCACAGGAATAATACAATTTGAACTGGTATAGCAAAGACTCAGACATATTATGTAGTAAGTAAATAAAAAAAAACAGATAAAATATAACGAAACGCTGTTACAGTTGTGACAGTTATAAAGTATAAAACACTGATAGAGAGCGTAGAATTTAGTAACGAAGTAAATGGCGTTCGCATTCCTAGATTGCCGCCCTACTTGGGCTCTTCTGGTTCGTAGAATTTAAAAAACATTATATACTGTTACATAGTTGCTCTATAAAAGACAAATAAGGAAAACTGATATATACCAATTACAGAACAACTTAAAAATCACGTTGCAATGCACACCTCAACGTCCCAACATAGCATAATTACATCTAAGACTGGTCAGAATTACAGCTAGATCATCACAATTAATATCATAGCCCATGAAACATTTATTAAAAGAAATGCACATTCTGTTTATAGGTGCCATATCTGAGATATTTGCCTTACTATTTGGGTTGTAAAAAGTTACAGAATAACGTGTAACTCTTTCAGGTGTTGCAAAATTAAATTAACAGTAAGTCTGGGTGGTCCAACTTATTATTTATTAAATTGTACAGGATTGTAACTTCACGGTACGCTAAAGTGTGAAATGAATAATTGAGGTAGTGAGTTGTATGGAAAACTACTTTCAGGGTACTAGCCATAAACTTTAAAATGCATATATTTTAAGATCTTGCTTTGAACTGATCGTATTTTGATACAATAGTTGCCAGATTAATGAGGCAAACACTAGTTTAGTTCTTATAAAAGACGTATATACTGTTTTGATACTTCTTATATATTCAAAGCTCGACCAATTTCTAACACAACATTCCAAGACCATATTTGACTTTGCAAATAATTCTCGTGTGTTCCGCAAATGTGAGCCTATTATGAAAAAATAACTCCTAAGTCTTTGAAGGATTGACATCTTTCTATTTTAGAGACGTTAATATGAGAAAAACGTATGGGGTTGACCATAAGGGGAAAACATAAGGTTTTAAATTTGCTAATGTTTATGTTAGGTTTGATGCTCTCACACCAACTGCATATGCTAGTAAGATCTTGTTGCAGTAGAATACAATCATAGACATTTTTTGTTTCACAGACGATTTTCAAATCATCAGTAAAGAATAGGTGCATTTTTTTAGTTGCAAGAAAAGGTCATTAGTAGATACAGGGTGGCCCATCCATGTGTGGACGGAATATTACTCATAAACAAATACATTTTGGAAAAATCTATCTATGAGGTGCCATACATGATATTTAAGGGTAAATTTCTAAAATATAGGTCATTATACAGGGTGTCCCAATTTCGACCTACATATCAAAGTTGTGATTTTATAAATGGAATGCCTCTAATTTTATTACATATTTGGATAAACCGATTCAAAAGAAGATTGATATAACATAGGTACTATGGGACTTTGGTAGTTAGTTACAAACTGTCAAAATTAGCTTTGTGAGCATTAAAATAAAAACGTGTTTGAACATGAATTTTTCTAAAGAAATGGTCAATATGGTGTTCGTTTTGGGCGAAGCCCAAAGAAATAGTTTCCTAGCATCTCGCAAGGCCGGAAATATTTTCCACACTATGAGAACGTTTTGAATCAAGTGGAGCAGTCGAATATAGTGAACAATGTATAAATAATCCAAGTTTCACCAATGAGGTAAATCGGTTGGAGGTTCTATTAAAGTTACAGGAAAATCCCCATTTAAGTGCACGGCAAATTGGAGCAGAAACTGATATATGCCAAACTTCCAAAGGATTATTCACAAGCATAGGTATCATCCATATCACCTATGCTTGCATCAAGAGCTTCTTCCTCAGGATTTCGCAGCTCGAATGGAGTTTAGTAGAATAATGCTAAATAAAGTGAGTGAAGACACTACTTTCCTGGATAAGGTTCTTTTTAGCGATGAGGCAACTTTTAACAGCATAGGTGTTGTCAGCAGGTATGACATGCACTATTATGCGACGGAAAACCCTTACTGGGAGAGGCAAATGGATTTCCAAAATAAATAGAGCTTGAATGTTTGGGGACGAGTTATTGGCAGACCAGTTATCGGGCCTTTCTTTTTCGACAACAGATTAACAGGTACATAATACTTGAATTTTTTTATCGAGCATTTGCATTTGCTTTTGGAGGATGTCAACCTGCAAACTCGGATGCATATGTACTTCCAACATAACGGCCCACCTGCGCATTATCATAATCGTGTGCGTAACTATTTGGACACCTGGAGTAACAATCGTTGGATCGGTCGTGATGGGCCTATATCTTGGCCTCATAGATCACCAGATATGACACCGAAGCACTTCTTTCTATGGGGCTATGTTAAACAAGAGGTGTATAGATATCAATCATCTACCCCAGAAAATATGAAGAAAAGGATTAAGGATGCTTTTCTGAACATAAGGGAACACATGCTGAGGGATGTGCAACGGTCATTTATTCAAAGACTATGGCTGTGTATTCAACATGGTGGAGATATTTTCGAGCCGTTTTTGTAGATCAGGTCTTGAGTAATGATAGTTGTTTGTTTATATTATTGTTATAGTTGTTTTTCTCTATTCCGCTTGAAACTGATTTATACTGTTCTGATTTTTATTAGTTTTTACTTCAAATATATATTCTTAGTGGCAATATGGAACTAGCCAACTGTTTGTCTTTTGTTTCCATGTGGTGTGTTGTTCTATTAAAAGCTTAATAACTCAAAATCTAGTGATTTTATCTGAATCAATCCTTATACCAAAAAAAGCTTATAAAAAATTTAATCCAAACTTGCACGAATATACAGGGTGGTGAAATTTTTGAGAAAATGAACAATTCGCGTTTTTGACCACCCTGTATGAGCAATAATGAAAATTCGGAAAAGTAACAAGTAAGATAAAAGCTAGGGTGTGTAGGTTTTTTTTGATACAAAATTCAGCACTCCAAATTTCAAAATGGCGGACTGAGGGGTTGCCGATGTGGACGGTTTTTCTGGTCAAAACACCTTACATCTCAGTAGCTAATTACCAAAACCCCATAGTATGTTATATCAATGGTCTTTATCCAAATATGCAATAAAATTTGAGGTATTCCATTTAAAAAATCACAACTTTGATATGTAGGTCAAAATTGGGACACCCTGTATAATTGCCAACATTTTATAAATTTGCTCTCAAATGTCATGTAAGCATGCCATGAATAGATTTTGCCAAAATATATTTGTTTATGAGAAATATTCCGTCCACAGATGGAGGGGCCACCCTGTATAAGGAACAATAGCGATCCTAGATTAGATCCCTGAGGCACAAGAGGAATATATTATAGAGTAGAGAATCATATAATTTCAAACAATTTGCCAAAATTGGATATGATTGATATGGCACGATAATTTTAGATTTTGCTGGCGTCGCCCGATTTAAGAATTGGTCAAAGTGGTTTAGCTAGTACATATATGCAGACTTTGTTAATTTGTTAGGCACTGTCCAGTTGCTTTTATTACACCATCTTCAGAAATTTTAGTTGAGGATATAAGGCAGTTGGAACAATCTGTAAGATGTAAGTTGCCAGAGTCACTTGCATCAGATGGGTGTGTTGTTTGATGATATTTAGAACTCACAGATGATATTATTATGATAGTATAATCTACCTTATGAAGTATTGGTTTTTTAATAAGAAACAGTAAAATACTTTATTGTGAGATGGCACTAAAAACACTGCACCTTGGTGCATTCTAAGCTGGAATATGCACCAAGCATATGGTATGAGTATTATCAAATCAATACTAATGAGAGAGTACAGCATAGATTTCTCAAACACTTGACATTCAAATTGGTTAGTATTCATCTCAGGCATGGGACTGACCAATCAGTGATCATGGTCAGATTTCAAATTCATCCTCTCGAGCTGAGGAGAAATTGTAACAGACCAAATTTTCCCACAAAATCATAAGCAATGATGCAGATTCTCCAACTTTATTAGCAAAAATTGAATTTCATATTCCACCCTGATGATTGATGGGTACAATAACTCCCGAATATGAGGTTTGTGGGTCCCTAATGTCAATACACTATCATAGCTTACCTGTTTGGTCATCTTGAACTTGAATGGAGGCCCTTCAAAAATAGCAATGGTATTATCCTCGGACCCAGTGATGATCCTAAATGGTCTAGCTGGCCTAAAGTCGCAAGAGTTGATGGGCTTTGATTGGCCAGATATTTCACCAACAGAAGTTCCGGTTTCAGACATAAACACATGCCCAAAACGCTCTCGTCCTTCACCCACTACAACCATGCGCTGGTTGTCGGGCGACCAAGCGATGTCCTTGATAGGACCCCCAAATGGATGGAATTCATTTTTCAGGATGTGTTCTTTGTTTACAGTGTCCCAAATACGGACCTTGCCAGACTGATCTGTTAAACAAAGACAGAAAATGATAGTTAAGTTGAAAATGTGCTTCGAAGCTTCATAGCCATCACTTCAAGTGGAAGAGTGGTTTTTATTATACGCAAGCAGAGGTAATGGTATAAATACCACGTTACTGCGAATACAAAAGTAAGCCAATTTGTTTGATTTTTGCAGTGACCCTTCTTGCAGATTGTTCCACAGTCTCTATACACTGGGATCAACGATGAACAAAGTGTACTGGCATTTCACAGTGTACAAAGTTGGACCATTAGGGCGTATGCACATAGAAAGCTGGTTACCGGCGCCGATCTAGCAGCGCTTATCGGAACCGGTGCGCGCAGGCAGCCGGCGCAGGCAGTTTCTATACTTTGTGTCGAAACAGCGCCGATAAGCGCCGAACGGCGCTGACAAGTTTTGACCGGTTCCGACCTGCGCCGATAAGCGCTGGTAAACTGCCATTTGCGGCTTAATTTTCAAGGGAACAACACCGCGTTTAATAATATGGATATTGATATACTGATTTCGTTAGTTTTTAGTAAACCACCTGTTTGGGATAAAAGAGACAAAAGGCATTCAAACAGATACGTGGTGGATAAATGCTGGAGGGAAATAAGTGCCGAGATGGATGTAGACGGTGAGTTTATTTACTTATTGAATTTATTAACAATAAACACTTAATTATTGTAAGCTAGTGAGTTATGTAAAAAATAATTGACGTAAATATTTCTGATATCCATTGCCTCATTTGAGTCGTGCCCTGAGTTATTCCACCTTCTTCGTACTAAATGAACAGGAGTTAAGTTACGGTTGATACCTTCTTTATCAATGATAGTGTTATGTAAAACACATATACACTTAACGATTTGGTCAGCTACATCAATATTGGTTTCAATACATTTGGAAAGCAATCGCCATTTCGAATTTACTATACCAAACGCACACTCTATAGTTTTTCTAGCTCTTGATAGACGTTTATTAAAGTTGCGTTGTTCTGAAGGCAAATTTCTGCCTCCGAAAGGTTTTAGTAGGTATCTCAGCAGAGGATACGCTTCATCACCTAGAAAAACATATGGTGTTTTCACATTTGTTCCTGGTAAATATTCTGCTTCTGAAATATCCATCTGCCCAGTACTTAAACGTTGGTATAGTTCTGAAGCCTTGAATGTTCCACCGTCGCTTTGTTTACCAAACCCGCCGATATCAATTGTTATAAATTTATAGTTTGCATCTGCGACTGCTTGTAACACGACAGAAAAATATTTTTTGTAATTGTAAAACATGGACCCTGATCCATCTGGACAGAGTATGCGCACATGCTTTCCGTCGATTGCCCCTAAAACATTTGGAAAATTCCAAATATTGTTGAAGTCATTTGCTATTGCACGAAAAGCCTCCTTTGTAGGTATGGGCATGTGTACTGGATGTAATTCATCCCACAATACATTCGTTGTTTCTTCTATAATATCCTTTATTGTGGAAAGACCCATTCTAAATTCAGAAGCCAAATGTGCAAATGTTGCCCCTGTTGCCAGATACCTGTAAGAAATAATACGACTGTTTTTTTCCAGAAAACAAACTGAGGAAGAAATGGAAATATTTAAGGGATCAGTTCGCGACTGAATATGGGAAAGTTCCTGCTCCTCGATCTGGAGATGAAGCTTCGACTTCGTATGAGCCGAAATGGCCATATTATTATTCCCTAATGTTCCTGAAAGATATTGTCAAAGCAAGAAATTCTTCAGGAAATTTAACCAAATCGTTGAAACGTGCTTCATCTAGCAGATCTGTAGAACAGACTAATAATTCCGACGACAGTAAAGACAATGATACGAGTACACATCATGCACTAGAAGAAAACAGTAATGACATCAATTCAGTTCCACGTAACAAAACAAAAACAACCAACCCATTCAATCAAAGTATGCTAGATATTGAAAGAAAAAAGTTGGAATACCTGGAACAAAAAGCGAGAAAACTTGAAGACGATGAACATCTACTGTTTCTGAAAAGTCTTTTGCCTCATATTCGTAAAATTCCACAAGAGCGGTTGCTTTCGTTTAGAAATGATATTCAAAGAACAGTTGACATTTATGCATACCAGTCCCAGTTCCCGCGACTCTCACCTTCAACTCTCTCTAGCTGCTCTACGGAACCACATGCAATTCAGTCTACACGTCAGACACCAGAACCATACACAACCCAATCAGCAGTACAGCCATTCCACTCAACACCAATCCCACGCCATACACCAGAATTACAAGCAACTCAACCGGAAGCACAATCATTGTACTCACCGCCAATCACACCTCACACACCAGAATCACACGCAACTCAATCTGTATCAAAAGCATTCCATGCGCCAATAAGCACATATTTACAGTCTTTCGCTGAGGGCCTATCAGAATACCCTGATAATTAAATTAAAAATGTTTGATACGTACCGAATGGTAACAACAAGTCTTTCTTCTGGGAGAATAGGTTGTTGATGCCAATTACACCAGTTTTTTATCAATCGATGTTCTACTTTATCCAAAATGTAGTAAAATGTTTCTGGAGTCATTCTTGTATATCTATAAAATCTTTGTCTGCTTTAATGTCTTGAAATAAATGATGATATTCTCCGTAAATTTTTCTTTTTCTATTTATGGGGTGTACACTTTGTTTGCGCATTTTGAGAAACACATTTTCTAATAGAAAGATATCTTCATCTGAGGAGCTCGACATTTTGCTCGCTGCTCAGAGAGACACAAAGCATAGACAGAGAGACGCCAGCGAGCTTCTGCTTAAACCCGCTTGCTTTATGTAGAGGTTGCCGGAACAGACCAGCGCCGATAAGCGCTGGTAGATCGGCGCCGGTAGCCAGCTTTCTATGTGCATACGCCCTAAGAATGAGAAGCAGAAACACAGCTTTTTTTGTCAGTCTGGCAAGCTTAGGATGAGACCTTGTAGAAGCAGAATGCCCCCTACCAAGGTTATCCCGGTTGGCCTTGAATATGCTTGGATAATGTTTATCCGATATTGAGTGTTCTTCAACTCATTACTATTATTATTATTATTTGTATTATACAAGAAACTGACCTTTTACCAATGAACTGTCAACACTGATGGAACAGGCGTAACGCGAATTCATTGCGGCTAGAATGAGAAACGAGAAGGATAGCGCTAGTCAGAGCAAAACATCGTGGTCCATTGTGGTATTTCCATATATGTTCTAAGGATTTTTGGTGAATGTTTGTTTTTAGTGACGTTAAAGATTAATAGTGATAGTTTGCGACATTTATTATAAACATTTTTATGCCGGACAGCCTTCAAGAGCTGTTGTTTTATGTGATATTTGTTTAAAAATGGTTGAATCTTGCAGTGCGGTCAATTGTTGCAATAGACGCAGAAAAGATGTGAAAATGAAGTTTCACAGGTTGGTTTTAATCATCTCATTCATTTATGTGTGAGAATTACCAGTTAATTGGTAATTCGAGAAAATATCTGGATTTTTAGGATACTTACAGATCCTAACATGAGGAAGTTGTGGTTACATTCTATAAGAAGAGAAAACTTTACTCCCAGTACAAAACGGTAATTTGTGAAAAGCATTTCACTCCAGAGGATTATGAAGTTGGTGTTTATGGAAATAAGGTACTAAAAAGTGGCAGTTCCATCTGTGTTTGATTTTCCAGCCCATCTCAAGAAAGAACCTAGCCATCGAAGGGTTTTGAAAAGAAAACATGAAGAATCCAACTCAAAAGCAACAGGTATGTTCTTTAAAATATTCCCAGTCTAAGCTTAAGGTTTTAACTTTTCTACTTTTATTTTCATTTGTTAAATTTTCATTTCAATTGTTGAACTCTGTTGAATATCTATTGATTACTAGCTAGAGTGATCATTTTACCATCACAGTATTTAGGTTTTACATTTAGTGCATGAAATTTTTAGCTTAAAATTATGATGCATGCATACATTTTGTTTTTACAGGAAAGTCTCCCAGAAACCCAAAAGCAACTACTTTTCAGGCAGTTGAAAGAAGGAAAATCTAACAAGTATAGCCCAGAATTAAGGTGTTTTGCACTAACATTGAATTTTTATTCATCATCAGCATACAACTATGTTAGAAAAATATTTGGAAAAAATGTTCTATCACACCCTCGCACACTTTCAAAATGGTATAGTGTTGTAGATGGTACACCTGGATATAGTGCAGAAGCACTTCGTGCTATCAAAATTAAGGTGGATGTTGATAAACAAAAGGGAAAACAGCTTGTTGGTGCCTTGATGATGGATGAAATGTATATTCGTCAGCATGTACATTGGACAGGAAGTAGATTAGTAGGCTACATAAATATTGGTGTTAAAATGCAAAGCAGTGAGGAGATCCCAAAGGCTACAAAAGCTTTAGTTTTCATGGTTGTTTGCATTAACAGTAGATGGAAAGTTCCAATAGCATATTTTCTAGTAGAATCTTCATCGGCTGAAGAAAAGCCTACCTTTGTGAGGGGCTGTTTACTGCAATTAGAAAGCACTGGAATGTTAATTAAGAGTTTGACTTTTGATGGTGATGCATCCAATATCCTTATGGCCAATTTATTAGGTACAAATTTGACTTTTCCATGTACTAAGCCTTTTTTCATAAACTCTCTCAATAAAGAGAAAATACATATAATATTAGATGCTTGTCACATGATTAAATTGGTGCGCAATACTTTAGGTGACTATGGTGTTTTAAAAGATGGTGGAGGGAATGATATTAGGTGGGAATATTTCAAACAGCTTGTCAACTTGCAAGGGGATACAGGTCTACATTGCGCCACCAAGCTGAGGAGGAGACAGTTGAACTACTACAAAGAAAAAATGAGAGTAAGTAGTTAGCAGTACAAACATTTAGTTCAAGTGTGAGTGATGCCTTAGAGTATTGTGCAAAAGATTTAAATATACGTTCTTTTCAATATGCAGAAGCCACTGCAAGTCATTGCAGAAATATAAATGATATATTTGATCTGTTAAATGTAAGAAACTTTTTTGGCTCCACCCAGTTCAAAAAACCTTTGTATAGGGGTAATGAGGAATTTCTCACAAATTTTGTAAATAGTTCTATTAGATATTTAAGCACACTAACAACCTATGAAGGTGTTAATATATTAGAAACCAGTAGAAAAACAGGTTTTTTGGGCTTGATAATTTGTTTAGTTAGTGTGAAAAACTTATTCGAGGATTTGGTGAAAGGTGAAGTATTACATTTTTTATTGACCTATAAATTAAGCCAGGATCATTTGGAAATGTTTTTTGCAGCAATACGCAGTAGAGGATTTTCAAAAAATCCAACAGCTTGGCATTTTGAACAAGCGTATAAGAGGTTATTAATTCACAGCAAAATCGCTTCGTCTGAAACTGCAAATTGCCTTGCTATGGATCATACATCTATTATATTTTTCCCCTAATTTGCAGGAGCAGTATATTGTCAATCACAACAAAATTTTAAATTGTGTATATATTTGTGATGTAGTTCAATATATAGCAGATTTTGTTAGCAAAAAAATTGTTCAAACCTTGAATTGTAATGAATGTGGCCCGATCAGTGACAACATCTGATTCTGATTGCATGCTGCTGAATTGGAAAAATAGAGGAGGTTTAATCAAGCCTACAAAAGATGTAAAAATTTGTATGGTTGCAGAAGGTATAATAAAAAGTGAAACAAACTTTTCTCATCCTAATATAATGTTAAGATTGGTCTCTGCTGCAATGAGAAATTTAAATTTGAACGAGGTTGTTTTAGGTTCATCTAAGCACTCTCTAGAGCAAGACCCACTTGATGGACATATCATTCAATTGGTCAGACTTATCATGAAAAATTATTTTACTATTCAGCTTCACTACATAAATTCTACAAAAAATCAAATAACAGACAGAATTAGGCAAAGGTTAACAAAAACGATTCATTTTAAAAATCTGTAAATCAGCAATTTTTAAATTGGGTATAAACATATAAATTCACAGATGAACCCACTACTCATTAATAATCTTTTAAAACTTTCATTTAATTTTTATATCAGGGACAATTTCAAGAATGAACTATGGTATAACCTATACTGTATTATAATGAAAAACTGTGCATCTACAGTATTGTTAATGCCATTGTGCACAAATATTTTGTATACATATACATATATATATATATAAGGGTTTTTTCTTTGTACACTTTAATCTCTACAAAACTGGACATGTTCCCACTAAATTTAGTGTTGACAGCTACAGTACTATAAAAATAAATTTAAATGTGCATAAAGATATATAGAAAATAACATGTATTTATTGTGATAATTCTTAGATCTCTTATTTTTTATATGTAAGATATAGCATATTAGAGCAGTTAAGTTAATTATAAGCAGACATGTAATCTCTTTGCTACCTGAATTATTAATTACCTATGTTAAATACTAATTTTTATATCTTCAAATGTGTAAAGGAGAATTTATTGTCAAGTTTCATACATATGTGTATATAAATAAATAAACTTGGTTTTTTAATTATAATTACGTTTCCAGGATTTTATCTCGTTCCAGTTGCCTGAATAACTTTTAAATCTTCTCTAAGAATCCTCGGTTTATTATGCAATTCATTCAAGTCCGTGCGCTTTTTGCCCTGACTAGCTCCATCTCTCTCTCGGACCTCTTTGTCTTATGTTGGCCGCATTATCGTTTCATTGTACAAATGGGACGGGGCGATTCTATCAGTGTTGACAGTTCATTGCCTTTTACACAGTTTTGCCGCTGCTTTTATATTTTCTGCAACTTGCACAATGCTGTTGTATATACATATGTAAGTGTCAAGCAGGCATCAGCTTAATCTTAGTAGATCTGAATTTGAGTGATATTAGAATGTACTTTTTTTAATAATCATAATATGTACTTCAATAATTGATCTAAAATCTGTTAATATTGTAATCATCAGTTATGAAACGTAGGGTCAACAAACAAGTTCAAAAAATAATACAATATGTATAAGTCTATTGAACCTCTGAGTCATATGAAACATCTATACAGGTACACTAAAACCAGTCTATTACAAATTATTTCCATATAACAACTTGATATTCAAATATATGTTCAAAAAATTGTTGTGTGACTCACAATTCAATCTGTTATGATTCATTAAAATCATCTCTGCTACTGGAAAAACAGGATTGGATCTAGGTGGTCAGGATAAATTAAAGGAGACTTGAGCTAAATTAGATTCAATAATAAAAAAATGTAAGCTATCTAAAAAAAGTTTATAGTGACATTGTTCATTTAAAAAATACAGTATCTAAAAAATTATTTCATTCCACATATTCATACACTATGTGGTTCAGTAAGAAATTGGAGATACATTAAAGTGACTGGTTTGCTTTTAAATTCTCATGAATGTTAATGAAATATTCATTTGGAAGGGTGTAATTTTGGCTAATTTAGGGAATTATTATATTTCTTTAGCATAAAGCACACACTGCACTTGTTGGCAATAGGCCAGGGGGCATTAATGCCCTCTGGTGGGCATTGCAGAACTATGGGGGATGCAAATGACATGTTGATACCATCCCCATCTTTGAAACTGTCATGAAGGGGAGTGCTAAGAAATAAATGATTCTTAAAGTGGGCAGTCGACAAAATAAGTTTGAGAACCTCTGGGTTAAGCAGATATAACAGCTGTATCACAAAATTACAAATTAGTTAATATAGTAACTACAAACAGATCTCCACTTTTTTATATAATTAATTGACTCTGGAATCATGTGGAGCAAGTCATCTGGGTTTCTTTCTCAAGATACACTTAGTTGTACGGAATATTGTACTTACCTCCAGAAGCTATGTAGAAACCACTTGGTGAATACTTTGCAACATTCACTGTGCAAGAATGCTCAGTATAAACATCAGAAATGGCAGGATTCTGTAAAAAATGAACCAATTCTCTCTAAACACAATTTTAGTGTATTTATTATCAGAAACAAAATTTATGTACTAAAGTTATTGAGGGTTCTGGGATTTTTTAAGATCATGAGCAATTATTGGTAATGCATTAAAGAGATGGTGTTCATTCCACCAGATATTTTGTCATCCAGCCAATTTCCCTAAATAAAAAAATGGCATGGTTGGTTGGTACTTGCCTCTATGTTCCTTATGATTACAGAGTTTCCATTTGTATACAAAAAGTTCTTTCCTTTGGGGTCACCACCCAAAACAAGTGGTTGGCCTCTTTGGGTCCTTGGTAAAGTTGAATATATACTTTCTATGAAAAAATGGTGAAGATTAATCCATAAATGTTGTAATACACTAGTCAGCATATTTATCAGCATTTCCATGAAAATAAATACTTACTGCAGGAGTATGACATATTTACAAAAACTAGGTTTACGACTCTGAGCTTTGCGTATAAAATATACCTAAGAAATTCGATTGGAAGCGAGGTGACTTGTACAATTCTTTGTAAACTTTTTACAGTTTTTCTAGTCGCCGACTATCTGAAAAATCTGTAAAATGCAATAGCGGTTATGTTTGCCATATATGGCAATGAAAAGTGAACTCGGCTCAGGAACTACTCATCAAAGTCAACTACACCTGTCACATGCATCGGCTAGAGATGTGCGGTATGGAACGGTACACAAAAGTAGCTAGTTACTTTTTCCTTTTCTATTCTATAACTCAGTATTATAGTCGAAAGCACGAAAGATGACGATTACGTCATCATTTTAATATGCAGTAAAGACAAACGACAGGGACTTGTGAATATTTTTAATGAAGTTTCAGATATGTTAGACAGAGACAAACAGAATTTTATTGTCTAAATAAACTGTATTGCTAATTTGGATGTATCCGACAAAGGTGGACGATGTTTTCAGTTGCATGATCGATCATACTTGAAAGATGAATAGTTAAAGCAGGTTCGGTTGTTTTCGAATAATACTTTGGTCTCTGGTGTTCCTGTCTTAAGGTATTCTACTCACAACTTTTTTTTCAAAACAAAAACTCCCCACTAAAATTATTATTAAGGTATCACTCAAAACCATAAAGTAAAATGAAAATAAAAATAATCAGTGAAATAACCTAACTTCGCAAAATCATAATATAGATATTTGTTGTCATTATAGGCGTATTTTTTAATTCACCAGTTGAGCCACCGGTGCAACCAAAATTTCCGTCTGAGCGACCGGTTGTACACCAAACTTGTCTACATATATATATATATATATATATATATATATATATATATATTGAGACGTGGTCATTGTCGTCTAGACCAGTTAGGTGAAAAATTAAAGCTTCCGCCTTTTGTTGGGTACTTCGACAAGATTTAAGCAAAGAGGACTCTTTATACTTTTTTTAATTCTCTCTAGCTTTCAATGGACTTTGCCATCATCATCAGGAGCTGCAATTACAATGATAACAGTAGCAACAAAGGTGTAAAATGAATTTAAATTGACTCAACTTACAGTAGTATGTGAGGATGTTGCTAATTGTTGTTTACGTATAGGATGAGGGAAACGTCCAGTAACATGGTGAGAGCTGGATAGATTGTACAATAGTCAAACTTATATAAAATATGAAAAGAACAAGTTAAAAACAGATTAAAAATTATTTAAAAAATTAGAGCATTACATCGTGAAACCACCTGATGAATGCACAAATTAGTGGTATAGTGGTCATGGAATGATGAATTGATGAGTGACATGAAACCCTTTGACAGAAGGCCGAAGGATATCAATGTCAGTATTGAAAGATGGAACGAATTGTGGGCGTGTGCCAAAACGTTGCCAAATCACTTCAGATGATGAGATTTTCAGAATTTTATGTTAGAATTTGTTAAACCGACCAGAGGCAGTTGAATAAACTATATTATTATTAATGGGAATTTAAATTAACAATTATTAATAAATCGTGAGGAGAGAATTATTATATTTTGAGTGGAATGAAATTTACTGGTGGAATCGGCCAAAACACAGATTCTAATTATGGTTGTGAAGAGTTGAAATTTGGGGAGATATGTAAGTTCTCCAATTTTTCGCAGTTTAGCAAATATGAGTAAATGACACTCAGTTGTTTAACATCTGTCTTTTTGTTGATACAGTTGTTATTCATGAAAATGTGGGACATTTCCAGGAATACACGTTTGGAAAGGTGTTTTTCTTGATCAAGAACTTTGATACTTGTGTAATTCATAGAATGCCCTGTTGTGTTAACATGAGATGCTAGAGCGCATCTTTCAGGATGAAGCCTAGCATCACTTTTGTGTGATGTAATCCTTCCTTTAAGAGATCTGGAGGTCTGACCTATGTATATTTGGTTGCAGTTGTTGCAATTGATGGAGTAGACTGTGTTGGTTAAGCCAAGCAGCGGGACTTTGTCTTTCATTTTTGAAAAAATGCAGTTTATAGTGAGGACGGATTTGCAAGCAATTCGAAAGTTCAAAGGACTGCACAATCTGATCAGCTTAGGGGTCAGTTCCTTGATGTAGGGCAGGACAGCAAAACCAGGTCTGGAGTCCGGGTTGGTGCTAGTACTGTTAGGATTGATGTTATTATTGGGAAGTACATCAGTTCCGTTATTAGGGGTTGTGCGACTATTACCTGCATCACCAGAGTTCGGCAAAATATTGGAAGGTGAACTAAAAATGATCTTGTTAATCAGACACTTCGGATAACCATTATTGATGAACAGTTTTGATAGTTTACGTAAATTTGAGGTGTGGAAGGTATTATCTGAGATGCTGATTACCCTTGTTTTCATCTGTTTTACCAAATTGATTTTAATCCCTAGCTTATGGTATGACCTAAAATTGAGAAACCGACCTGAGGCCATAGGTTTCTGGTACCAGTCTACCAATAAACTGTTGTTGTTGGTGCGAATGAGTCTTGTGTCTAGAAAGGGGACAGACAGGTTCTCATCTTCTTTTTCAATGGTAAATTGGATGTAGGGGTCATAGCTGTTGAATTCTCTGACAATACCATCCAGACCTATGGAAGGCAGGCATAAAATAATGTCATCTACGTATTTTTTTATGAAGAAGAGGTTATAGGGTAGTGTCGGAATAACAGTATCAAGCAGATCATCCATGACATATTCCGCCAAAATTGGTGACAGAACAGATCCCATAGGACAACCATGTGTTTGAGAATATATTTTGTTGTTGAAAGAGAAATAATTGTTATGAAAAAGGAATGTTATAGAATCTTTCACCAACATTATAACACGACGTACGTCCATTGATTACTTCAGTACAGTTTATGGTATGACGTAATATTCATCTTTCGTGATTTTGACTATAGTGTTTTGTGTCTATCGCCAACGTTTGAGAGCAAAAATGCGGCAAAATAGCAAAAGCGGGGTAAGTCTGTTTATGTGTTCTGTGGGGTGTATATGTTTTGTGGTGTTCAGTGTATATGTTTTGTGGTAATCGTAATCATTAAAGATGACATTTGGCGCTTTAGAAAATCAAAATCCAAGTATTTTCAATAAAATTACCGAGAGACCAGCGACAGAGGCAGAAAAAGACGATTTGGTGGTAGACGAATTCGATAGGCGAGAAATTTTTGGTAAGCAAAATATATGTTTCTATTTGGCGTTGTATCCCTCTGTGAACAGTCCAGGCTGTCTGTTGCCTCACTGAAAAAGTAATTTATATTGCTCTCTTCTACCAATATACTAACATACTTTGTTGCTGTCTGCTCTCCATTCTAGTGCTGCCGCGCTTTATGCCTGCTATATGGACAAGCCAGACTTCTACTTCTCATTCTAACTCTGTTGAGTTCCATACATTGATGATTGGCCTGTATGACCAGTCCTGTGTTCCTAAGGTTTCATTATCCAGCAGCTTCACAGAGCATTTGACTGACTTTGAATGCTTGCCCTAACAAATCCTTATATAATTGTAAGCTTATTTTCTTATATTACAGACTTGATACGAGGAATCAATGATCCAGAGCACCCTTTAACACTTGAGGAATTGCATGTCATTCAAGAAGAACTAATTACATTGGACAATGACAATAACACTGTGGATGTGTATTTCACACCTACCATCCCACACTGTAGTATGGCAACATTGATTGGACTTTCAATAAGAGTGAAACTTTTGCGCTGCTTGCCTGCAAGGTTCAAAGTCAAGGTTGAAGTTACTCCAGGCAAGTATATCTCTAAATGTTGTAGAGCAATCATCTGTCACAGGTCATATATAACTAACAGTTAATGGAAAGGCAGTTGCCTAGCTATCTATGTCAATTGTGGAAGGCAATGGACAGTCTATAATGACACATGTTTTATTTTCTGTGAGATAAGCTCTATTCTCTTTTCAGGTACCCATAATGCAGAAGAACAAGTTAACAAACAACTTGCAGACAAGGAAAGAGTAGCTGCAGCTTTAGAAAACTCCCACTTAATCAAAGTAATCAACCAGTGTATAGCACCAAGGCAAACAGCATAGTCATTATGATGCAGCCAGTGTATTTTTCAAAGGACAATTGTGATATCTCTTCAGCATATAGCAAGTGTTTCAAGTATATGCGAAAGATATTACGATTTGAACAGATGGACTTTCAGTTTGCTCTATGGCAAATATTCTACTTATTTGCTGCTCCACAGAAGCTTATTAACTTATTCAAAGCTAGGAAAAGTGCAAAGTACCAATATGCCAGAGATGATCCAGCATTCCTGGTTTTATTCACAGCAGCCTTGTGTTTCACATCAATTGGTTTTGCAGTTGTACTTCGACTGAGTTTCATACAGTTCATCAAATTTCTTGTGTTTGTGATAGCAGTTGACTGTATAGGGTTGGGTATTCTTGTAGCAAGTTTATTCTGGTATGTCACAAATAAGTTCATGAAACCAAAGAACAACATGATGGATGTAGAATGGGGATATTGTTTTGACATACATTTGAATGCTTTTTTCCCTCCTTTGATTCTCCTACATTTTTTACAATTGTTTTTTTATAATGGAATTATCAGTCATGATACATATTTTGCAGTTTTGCTAGGCAATGCTTTTTGGTTTGGATCATGTTTTTATTATATTTACATTACATTTTTGGGATATAATGCTTTGCAGTTTTTAATTAATACAAGATATTTTCTGATTCTAATACCTGTTTGCACTGTTACTTATTTTTTATGCCTCCTAAATTATTTGAACCTGACACAGCTAGTGTTAGATGCATACAAGTATAGGGTTCTGTAAATATTAAAATAAATTTGTTGACCAAAGGAAGTGTTTGAATTTTTCACCCAAGTTAACAGAAAATATTAATACTGGAAACCCCCACATGTTTAATTGGCCAATGAAAACAACCTCCTGTGTTGAAAAACTCTTTAGTGTGAACAATTATAAACATTTTGGTAACAATGGTGACCTTCAGTATAATGACTGAATGTATTTTATGTCTTCCAGATGACACTATTTTTTGTTTTCATCTTCCTGTACAAAAGTGCAAAAGGTTCTATAACATGCTGAGATTATGCGAAGCCATTCCAAATTTTAGCCTAGAACTGCTTGGGGGGGGGGTAGGCATTTTCGCTCCTATAAAGTGACGTCCAGCCTTCCAAAACAATAAGCAAACAGGATATCTGTTATTTTTTAATTTACCACCCTCGTGAATCGTACCGAAGAAATAGTACTTTGACATCTAAAGGGAACTATGTTGTTTGTTCTGTGAGAAAATAAAATAAAACTCCACCGACTGACTTTGAGGTGGCGTAATAAAACTGCACGTTTGAATCCAACAACAAACCATGAGAAAAACTTGGTTAAAAAACTCATGATCCATTAGTTTGGGTCACAGTCCACAGAGGAACTAGAAAGACAATCATTGTTAAATTTTGTGTGAGCTGATTCTTTTACCTCCCTCTTGTAATTGTATACACAAAAAATTTAATATATAAAATAGACTGGGCCTGTAGGGAATCGTACATCAGTGAAACACCAAGACATGTTAAATGTAGAATGAAAGAACATAAAGGGGCTATATAACAAAGGAAGAAACCTCAAAATCAGCACTAAGGGTAAAATGGCAGGAAGCCGCAATGCTACACAAAGAGGATAAGAATTATAAAAGGAATGTAAATGAATCAGCTTGTATAAAATTAAACAATAATTGTCCTAGTTCCGTGGGCGGTGACTCAATTTGGTTGAATATCAAAGTTTTTTCTCATAGGTTAGGTTATGTTTCTTGTGAGTGCATCAATAACGATCCTCCAGCGCGACTCTTTGGTCTATTGTGGCTCACACCTATTTATATTTGCCCCAGAAGCTCTGACCTCCTGAGGAAGTCGATCAACTTGTTTGGAGAAATATCCTTCAGGTCTTCTGCTTGGAGTACTACATTTCCAAGTATGTTGTACCTGATTCTGGCAATTGCAGGACATCTGCACAATAGATGCCTGACCGTTTCATCTCCCTCCATGCACAGTCTGCACTCAGGCTCTTCTGCCATGTCCAGCCTGCTCATGTGGTGATGCAATTTGCAATGACCAGTGTACAGTCCTACTAGAGCTTTGAGGCTATTCCTGTTAAGCCGTAGCAAAGTCTATTACCTTGTTTGTCAAGATAGGTATAGTTGCCCTAGCATGGGTTAACCCTGCTAATCCCTCGTGGTATTGATGGATCTTTCTGTCCATCTCTGCAGAGATTATTTGTTTAGCCGTATTGTATGCGATCCCAATCGCTGGCTCAGGCCCCATGAGGCCCCCACTGTTTGCCAGAGTGTCAGCTGTCTCGTTTCCGTCTAGACCTGTGTCCTGTTATCCATATGAGATGGACTTCATTTCCCTCCCCTATTCTACCGAGAGCTTCTTTGCAATTCCACCCTAATTTCGATGTCGAGTAGGTGGAGTCAAGTGCTTTAAGTGCGGCTTGACTATCTGAAAAAATAATTATAGTTCTGGTATTCCCATACTTTGGTGGTTTTGTAAGTCCACCAGCATGTCCGTCTCCTCCATAGTGATATTGTCGTTTATACCATTTGCCACATGATGTAGTCTATGTCTTTCTTGCCTCCCGTTCCAGGTATACGTGCCAGGGTAAATTGAGAAGGACCTCCATAACTGCAGTTGGTGTGGTACGAAAGGCACCAGTGATCAACATACAAGCTTCTCTCTGTATTGCGCCCAGTTTGGCTTGGACAGTTCTTTGTGCTGCAGATCCATAGGTTACCATAGGTCTAATGACCATGGTATAAAGCCAAAACATTTGCTTAGGCTTCATTCCCCAGTTCTTTCCACAGACCCTTCGGCAGTTCCATAGCGTGATCCTTGCCTTCTTAAGGACTGCTTCCAGATGCGAATTCCAGTTTAGTGTTTTATCTAAGATTATTCCTAGATATTTCGCCTCTTTTGCAAACGGTACATTTTCACCTTGGATTGTTGGATTTTTAATCCCATCCAGTTTTCTCTTTCTGGTGAAAGGTACGATGACCATTTTTTGCGGGTTGATTGACAATCCGTCACATTCGCACTAATCCCCCGCTATTGCGGTTAACAAATCCTGGAGTGTTCCCGAGATATGTTCCCAGATTTCCCTCTGACTAGGACGACTAGATCGTCTGAACCTCGGCCTCCCATAGGCGAATAACGGCAATCAGATTATCTACCAGGAGCGACCACAAAAGGGGATATAACACCCCTCCCTGTGGACACCCCCTAGCAGCTCTAAATCTGAGTACCTCCCCCTGTAAGGATGTCGTTATGATTCTGCATGTCAACATGCTTCTGATCCAGTCGCAGATCAGAGGATTCACACCCATGGAGGCGATTGATTCATAGAGGGATTCTGGTAAGGCATTGTTAAATGTCTATGTCCAAAAAGGTCGCTATGGCAATTTCTTTGTTTTCCAAGGAAGCTTTGATGCTCGCAACGAAGTTGTTGAGAGCAAGGTCTGTTTATTTACCAGCCTCTTGGTCATATTGATGCACACTTAGAGGATGCCTCTCCAGAGCCCCCCCTCATGTACTCATCAATTACCTTTTCAAGGCCTTTCAGCAGAAATGAGGTCAGACTAATTGGTCCGAGTGACTTCGTCACTGGATCTTCCGTCCAGGTTTGGGTATACTCTACCCTTGTCACCTTCCAGCCATGTGGCATGTGATTCCACGCCAGGCTGGCTCTGTAGTGCTATGAGAAATGGCATCAATATATCCAGTCCAACTTGTAGTAGAGTTGGATACATTCCCTTCTCTCCTGGCGATTTGAAGGGCTTAATTGATTTTATCGCTCCTTTAACCGCATCAAGTGTTACTATGGTTCTGACAACCTGCCAATCTCCCCTGTGGGGTCGTTCATCCGCCCTATTCTCCGAGAAATGGCCAGCTAAGTCATCAGATGTTATACTTCCTGGAAAGTGGTTTTGCGCAAGGATATCCAAGGTTTCCCCCTGGGCGGAGTGAACGGCCGTCTGGTCGCTTGATCGATCCCAGCTGTTGTCCACAATCCTTGGAGAGGATCTTGTAGACCCTAGGGCTGCTGGGTGCATCTGATATGATCTCGCAGAACCTTTTCCGTGATTCAATTTTGGCTTTGCGGACCGCTTTATTATAGTCGGTTAAGGCTCTCCTATACTGGCCCCACTCACCAGCTAGTTTGGCCCGGTTGAAGAGTTTCCGAACCTCTATCCGTTTCTTATTAAGACTGTTATTCCACCAAGGCGTACTCCGGTTGTGTTTTTTCGCCTTGAGTATACAGTTTTCCTGATAGGCTGAACTTATGGCCTGCGTTACCCGATCCGCCATGAAGTCCAGTTAATCTTTATTTGTTATGGTCTTACTACAGGAATGCAGGTTTTCCTTCAGGGTCGTCTTATCTCCATCCCAGTCCATATATCTAACATTCATGTAGCATACCATAGGTCTTACACCCGTTGCAATCTTAAAGCGAATATGTCGTTGATCAGAACACGAGAATTCCGACGTTACACGCCAATCTTTGATCTTGCTGCTTAGATAATTCGTACTAATTGTCAAATACCTCTTTCCTACTTCTCGTAATAAAGGTAATCTTAGCGCCTTTATTGTTAACCACTAGTCCCTCCCCAATTGAATAGTTAAACAGAGACTCACCTCGTTGGTTAAGATCTGTGCTCGCCCAGGCCGTGTGATGCGCGATAGAGTCGGATCCTAGTACCAGGTTCACGTTCTTCCTCCTGCAATGGTCGATTAGGCTCCGCACCAGTTGGGGAGGAGGTGATTTGTCTGCATCTCCAGGAAAATAGGTAGAGGAAATTACAACCTCTACATGTATTTGAAACAGGACATAGGGTAAAATGGGAGGAAGCCTCAATAGTACACAAATAGGGTTAAGAATTACAAAAGGTAGGTAAATGGATCAACTTGTATAACATTAAACAATAATTGTCCTAGTTCTGTGGTTGAATATCCAAGTTCTTTCTGAAAGTTTGCTGTTAGGTCTCAAACGCGCAGATGTCTATTTCGCCATCTTAAGGTCAAACTGATGTATTTTATTTTCTCACAGGAAACATAGTTCCTTTTAGATTTCGAAGTACTATTTCTCGCGTTTCAGATCCTTAAACAATGGATTTGAAACAGTTTTGTCGAAGATTGCTCAACAACCGGTGTGCTACAACAGCGTTTTCGCTTCTTTTTGGAGAGTTAGGGGATGATAGCACAATTTAAAAACATGTCAGATAACCTCATGCTCTCTTGTCGTTTTGGAAGTCTGGATGTCCTTTTTTGGGAGCGAGAATGCCTACCCCCAGGCGGTCCTTGGATATGCTGGTTTTTCGGGGTGCCCACCTTAATATGTGGAGTGATGGCTTCGCGCAATCTCAGCATGTTACAGGACCTTTCACACTTTTGTTGAAACACTGTATAGGAACCTAAAAATGAAAAGAAAAAACAGACAAAGTGTCACCATGAAGACATAAATCTAGTAATTTGTTAATGATTGTACTAAAGGTCACTGTTATGATGGAAATGTTTACAATAAGGATTTTTTCAACACTTGGTTTCGACTTATCCAAGAAATATTGGACCGGTTAAGTTTCAGATGTTACATTGATACAAATACTGGTATCTTAACTTCCAGAGTTCTTTATCAGACATCTACTTAAAGCTGTTTAGCTTTAGTTAATCTTTGGGTTCAATTCTCTAGCAGATTTTTCTATATTCTCAATATCTAGGTAAAATTTGGAATGATGGCTTCGCGCAATCTCAGCATGTTACAGGTCCTTTTACACTTTTTTAGAAACACTGTATAGGAATCTAAAACAAAGTGTCACCTGGAAGACATAAATAGAGTAAGTTGTTAATGATTGTACTAAAGGTCACTGTTATGATGGAAATGTTTACAATAAGAATTTTTTCAACACTTGGTTTCGACTTGTCCAAGAAATATTGTGAATTATCTATATGAAAACCACAGGTTAAGTTTCAGATGTTAGATTAATACAAATACTGGTATCTTAACTTCCAGAGTTCTTTATCAGACATCTACTTAAAGCTGGTTAGTCACTAATCACTCTTTGAGTTCAATTCTCTAGCAGATTTTTCTATATTCTCAATATCTAGGTAAAACAGGCACGGCCGTACCAGGCACTTCAAAATTAAAAAAGCTCGATCGAGTATGAATGAAAACAAGAAAGGTGCGGTTCCATCTTGCAGGTCTATGGTAGATGGAACAGACGTCATGGAGAGTGAAAATACTTGTACAAAAAACAAACATTTATTAAACTTAACAATACGTAGTAGCTCTATGGTTTTCTAGCACTCATTGGTGCAGCGCCGGCGCTTCCAGGTTCATTGACCTTTGTAGGGTCATACTTATATGTTTTCTGTATGGGGCCCTTCCCTGCCCTCGAAAACTGGATTGCATCCAACCGCCTTCTATCTTCGAGTTCCTTTGTTATCTTTATATTGGTCCAAGCTGAAGAGAGAAAAAAATAGGCTCTCACTTGTTTACAGATCTCTTGGTGACATGTTATATTTACGCAAAAAATAATTTTAGGAGTAAGGGTTTTCTCATGCAATTCTTACACATGGCGCCAGATTTTTTTTTGCAAAACTTTTGCCTTCTTTTTTTTAGTCCAAGGGTTTGAACAATTTTTTTCTTCTTTAGGCCATCATATGTATAAGATTCAGCTGGTTTTAAAATCTCGATACGATTATTTGGCGCAAAGATATCTTTTGATTTTAAAAAAGTCACAAAAAATTACTTCTTGCATTGTTTTGGAAAATGGAGCGCTAATGAGAAGGTGTTTTTAGATTTTTTGTATACCTCAATGTACCCCTAATAACTCCGCACGACGGTAGTTCGATTCATTGTACAGTTTCTGTGGAGCGATTGGTCAAAATTTCAAACTAGTAGAATTTTCGTAACAAATCTGGTAAAAATGGAAAAATCATGTTTTTCTTCTGTTGTCACCACTGGATATCTGTAACACCTTCAATTTAAAAAAAAAACAATTGGAAAAATGATATTCTTTCATGCATGGAATATTAAAAAAAAAAAAATATTTTTTGTGTGCGATCACAGATATTAGTGGTCGATGGATAATTTTTTAAAAACAGGATATTGAAGCTGCATAAGCGGGATCTTGTCCATATGATGACCAAACAAAAAAAAATTCTAGCCCGTTGAGTAACAAGAAGGCAAACATTTTTCTTGCGCTAGCTATTAGGATTGCATGGAACATGCATGCTCCTAAAATTTTTCGGCTGAAAACCTGAAGACAAGAACCGTGAAGCTTCCAAATGCTTCTTTTATAGTCTAAATACGACTATTTTTCACCAAAATACAGCCTGCCAATGATCATTAAAAAAATTTGGATTTCCTTTCTTGTTCCCTTAATTTTTTTGAGTAGTCTGTAAATGCCAAATGTAGTGAAAATTATATGAACGACAAGCCATTTTTCAGTGCACTAGGTCTATATAACCATCAACACCGACTCAAGAGTGAGTGAATTTTGAGTTGCTGAACATTCGGTCGGACACTACATTCCTCCTAACAATTTAAATCTCTACGCAACGTCAACGTATTCGTTATCTAAATGTCACGTCCAAGCAGCACGTTGTGACTGTCGCCCATTTAATGTCGATATAACATGTCGATAGGCTGAATGGTATACATTTTATAAACAATGTTTTGTCATATACAAAGCATTTAAAAATATGTGATACATTCATATTATTCTTTAAAAAAAAGAATTGGAGTGGATACATACATTCCTTCAGTCCTTCCCTAAAACCTTTTGGTTTTATTGGCAATGCTTGGGGATCGAATCTGCTCATTTGTTCTATGTTGAAGTACTCCCTCACCCTAGGTAGTCTTAGGATACCAACTTGTACTAAAGAAATGAAATTCGTTGACACCCAGTAGCAAAGTATAGCGCCTGGGAAGTTCACCGTGAATGGTAGAATGACGATGGGTAAGCCTCTCAGGACGTATTTCATCAGAAACATGTTCTGGGATGATAATTTTGCCGAGTCAGTGCCGAGCTGCAAAGTGAATAATATGTCATTTTAGTAATTTCTACTTTAAACTAACGTGGATTTAACTAAATATAGTATGTCTAAATTGTGTAGCAGTTGCTAGCGGCTCCTTTGACCTTGGTATCACCAGTTATTTGAGAGCTCTCCTACCATCTACCATGGGCGCCCCAGAATAACCAGTAAAAACATGTATATGAATGTGCTTCCGAAATTGTTTGTGAAAATGTGTAAGCTTTGGGCGCCGATGTTAATTGATAGATCAAAGAACCACCAGTCATTGTCGCATCTGTATATAGGACATGTATGTTTTCGTCTCTGGTAGTACTGAATGTGTCTGTGATGAGACTGGCAACGTAGTGTTAAATCTGGCAACACTGGGAGCGCGGGGCTTGGACGGGAGACAGGGATTCTCTGATCTGCCTTCAGTAAAATTTTGAACTAACTAGAGTCATTTGGGTGTCCGTAGCGATTTTTTTGTGAAACAGTTTCTTCTATTGTATTCTAAAAATGAGTGACGTTAATTTCGAGCAACGGTGTGCTAACAAGCTTTGCTTCAAACTTGGGCACAGTGCAACATAATCTCTTTCTAAACTCCAGCAGGTCAATGGAGATAGTGTTTTGTCAACAGCCCAGGTTTTTCGGTGGTTTAAGGCATTTTCAGAAGGGAGAAAGTCGATTGAAGACGAACCACGAAGCGGAAGGCCATCATCTTCACGAGCCGATGAAAATATCGACAGAATCTGGGATCTTGTGCCTTCAAATCGTCGACTGTCGGACAAAATTACCAGGGGAGAGTTAAATTTGACACGCACCACCGTTCATCGGATCAAGAACAACTGGATGTTGCTTAATGATAACGCTCCTTGTCACACATTAATGTCAATAAACGAGTTTTTGCCCAGTAAAATCATTCCTGTGGCTCCTCAGCCTCCTTATTCGCCTGACTTGAGAACTTGTGACTTTGTTCTCTTCCCGAAGTTGAATAATCATCTCAAAGGACAGTCAAAAACGTCCAAATGGCTGTAACCGACCAGCTGACGGCTATTCCAGCACTGCTATGAGGAGTGGAAGAACCGTCTCCAGCGCTGTGTAGCTTCAGAAGGAAGTTATTCTGAGGGTGACAATATCAAATTGTAATTATATTTTTCTAAAAAAAATTTTTAAAATCAGTCTCATCACTAAATTTACAGATCTCGTTCAAGCTGTTCGGCAAGCTCAAACGCTGTTTCAATCAAAAGCAAAAACATATCTTATGATCCCGTTTTCCTTTTTTTGTTTAAGCGATCCCTACATTATTGAAATGCAGTATAATACCGAACCATATTCAACTAACATTTCTTGCTGATAATTTTTTAAACGTCATTATTATCTGTGTTGTTTCATTTATAAATTTATGTCATACCATTACATGGCTTCTAACTGACATAATTTTAATTTCTTCCAATGCCGATCTGACATTCAAGTGTCGCGCAAGAGACAGTAGCGATGGCGGTCAACGAATGGAATAGATTAGGAGCCAAGCCTATATTTTTACATGTTTGTCGCCAAAAATTGCGTAGTTTTAGTACATACTTTTGACTCATTTGTCTACCAATGCCTACCAAAGTAACAGCGTTGTATCAACATAATAATACTTACTGGTGGAAATATCTACTGAGCGAGGGCCGTGGCAAATCCTTGTTCCGGAAGTTGTTGTATCCAGTATACAACTTCTTCCCGTCCAAGTGATTGTGCACGCGTTAAGGAATACCTCAGTACCGATTGCCGGGTGGTGGTACAAGTCCGCCAACGGGCCACTTTAGGTCTATTTAACATCACTAACACGTAAAAAGAAGGTGGTAGACAAGGACCAGTCGACCGAGGCAGTACCACCCGCTAGCTTTTCCCTGGGTGTCTTATAAATGTCCGCATGTTTCCACACCTAAGCTATGCAGTCGGTTATCTACCAAAACAAAGAAATTAATGATGATGGATCCCTCGAGCACTAAGAACTCCGGACGTAAACTCACTCCACTCTCGGAATGTCCGGGTGGAGGGTGGGCTCGAGGGAACAACATCGAAGATAAAATTTGTTTTTCGAACATCTGCGGGATAAACAGCAACATTGATGCTGTTCATCACTACCTGCAATACAATCGTCCCGCCGTGCTTTTCTTGGCGGAGACAAAAATCTCAGAGACTGCACCGATTAACCATCTCAACTTCCCAAACTACGAGGTGCAATCTGAGAAAGAACGGGGGAGTTTTGGCTTTTGTCCGCAGCAGTCTTTCCTGCTCCAGGGATCTTTCTTTGGAATCAGACCGGAAGGACATTCTGTGGCTTCGCCTCAACTCCAAAACATCACCCAAATTTATTTGCTGCCTTTATCGCTCTCCCTCGAATCATAACTGGGATGACCTACTCGAATACCTCGCCGTCCAGATCGACTTCCTGAACATCAATCACCCCGCTTCAGAGATAGTTCTTCTCGGTGATTTCAATGCCCATAATGAGCTTTGGTTGGGCTCAAATAAGACCGATGCAGCAGGTCGTGCAGTCGAAGCGTTCGCTCTTACTCAAGGGCTGACCCAGCTGGTGACGAGCCCTACTTTTTTCCCCCGCGTCTCGTCACACGCCAGTAGCCTGCTGGATCTCTTTCTGACCACGCATCCTGCCCCTTACAGCACTGCTGTCCTGTCCCCCTTGGGTAACTCAGATCACGGTGTTGTGGAGGTTAGGTCTCGGTCAGAAGCCGCTGTGGCAGCAGAAACTCGCACAGGCCGCAAAACTTGGCATTACGGACATGCCAACTGGGAGGGGCTCAGAGACTTCTTCTCTAGCTTTCCTTGGAGAGATGTCTGTTTCACTGACGCGGATGTGTCGACTGTCTGTTCTTCAATAACCGAAATTATCCACGTCGGAATGGAGGAATACATCCCTCACACAGTGAAAGTTCCTAAACCAGGGTGCAACGGCTGGTTCAACAAATCGTGTGACACTGCTCGCCAGCAGAAGATCAAGGCCCACAGAACCTACTTACAAAACCCCACTGTAGAGAACAGACAAGCCGACGTCGAGTCCAGAAACAAATATAACGAAGCGGTTCGCAATGCCAAAAACCAGCATGATATAAAAGTTAGGCACAGGGTAATGTCGCAGCGCAATGGCAGTCGGTCTTTCTGGACGCTGGCCAAGCAGATTGAAAAGAACTTCTCACACAGTAGCCTTCCACCACTTACGTGTCAGGATGGAACTATTGTATTCGACTCAAAGGCCAAGGCGGAAGTGCTAGCCAAGATCTTTGCTGCCAACTCCACCATGGACGTCCCCACCAACGCCCAAGTGCCGCCAATTCAAAGGGTTCCCCACACTATGCGGGAGGTAACATTCAGGCATAAGACCGTAAGACGAGTGCTCTTGTCGCTCGACATCAACAAAGCTTCTGGTCCGGACTTGATTCCTGCCATTGTACTGAAGAGATGTGCAGCGGAACTTGCTCCAGTTCTTTCGCGTCTCTTCCAGATATCTTATGAATCCGGCACCTTCCCAAAAAACCGGAAATTTGCTCATGTACAGCCCATCCCAAAAAAAGGATTTAAGACCGACCCTTACAACTACAGGCCTATAGCTCTGCTTTCTGTTATAAGTAAAGTGATGGAGAGGTGCATAAATCGCGAGCTTCTGGACTACCTCGAACGTCACAGCTTGATTAGCGACAGGCAGTACGGTTTCCGGCACCAACGATCCACAGGGGACCTCCTAGCTTACGTCACGCAACTGTGGAGTAAACTCATCCAGTCTCATGGTGAGGCTCATGTCGTTGGTCTTGACATCACGAAAGCGTTCGATCAGCTGTGGCACGCTGCCCTCTTAAGCAAACTTCCATCCTACGGCCTCCCAGAAAAGCTTTGCAGATGGGTGGCTGACTTTATCTCTGGCCGCAAGATATCCGTCGTAATTGACGGATTCTCCTCTTCATCCCACAACGTCAACGCGGGTGTTCCCCAGTGATCGGTCTTGGCTCCAACACTGTTTCTCTTACATATCAACGACCTCCTTTCCTGCACGATCAACCCAGTCCACAGCTTCGCTGATGGCAGCACTCTACATGCAGGAATTCAGAGTGACAAGCCGATCTCTGCCGCTGAGCTGGAAAAAAGAAGACTAGCGACGACTTCTTCTCTGACAAGAGACCTGGGGACGCAACAATCTTGTACAGTTCAATGCTTCCAAAACACAGTACTGTACTTTGACGAACAAAAAGCGTCCTAGCGCTCATACAGTTTCGATGGACGGTCGAGTTCTACCAAAGAGCCATTCATTTCGGCTGGTCGGAGTCCAGATCACCGAGGACCTGATCTGGCACGAACACATCTCTTCAATAGCTGCAGCTGCTGGGAAAAAGCTAGGCTATTTGTTTAGGGCTAAGAAGTATTTTTCTCCGCATGACCTTCTCACTCTATACAAGGCCCAGATAAGGCCTAGCCTTGAGTAATGCTCACACATTTGGGGTGCTACCGCCCCGACTACATTGTCCATGCTCGATGCTGTCCAGAGGAGGGCGGTCCGACTGATCGATGACTCTTCTCTAACAGACAGTCTCTGGACTCTTTCGCACCGGCGGGTCGTCGGCGATCTAGCTCTTTTCTATCGCTACACCAACGGGCTTTGCTCCTCAGAGCTCTCTTCCATGATGCCGCCGCGCGATGTGCCTGCCAGACAGACCCGCCTGACTTCGGCGTCCCATCCTAACCGTGTCAAGCTTCGTACATCCAGAACTGGCCGATACGACCGCTCCTTTGTCCCGAGAGTGTCTAGATTGTGGAACAATCTACGGGAGGAAGCTTTTCCCAGTTCTACTAACCTTATGCAGTTCAAAAATCGTATTAACAAAATTTCTTTGGGATCATCATAGCAGCCGCGGTGTTCCGGCATTCAGGCTTCTGCCTGCGCGGCTGTTTCGATATAAAAAAAAAATATACCATATTAGGCATGTGCCACTCTTTACAAATTATGTAAAAAGTAGCACGTACTGAAATCGTCTATCACCACAATTATTTTCAAATAATCACTTTTTTAAAAAATAACACTAAAACTACGCATCTAATGACAATTGTCAAAACATTGAATTATGTCAAATGCACTTTGATCCCTACCACAGACTATGATAATAAAGATACATACAAATCCTTGACTGGCTCCTTCTACCTAGTCTGAGTTCGTTGTGAATCTGATAAGCAAGCTATTGGGACAAATCCGGAAATCTTGTCCCATATTTTCTTTGTCCTCTTCAGCTTTTACATCCTCTGGGTAATTCATCAAATTGCATATTAACGCACACGTGTCCCGTGACTGTCTCGCTGACAGAAAGTTATTTACAATACTCATTAACAGGCACGCTAGAACCATAATCGAGCCTTTTGTTTAACATGTCGCCAACTTTGCAGTACCAAAAATAATGAAGACGCCGCGAAAATAAAAAAAGAGCGGAAATTGAAAAAGGAAGTGAATATATCTCTTATTTAAAGAGTACAAATGATGATTGTGTGATCTTATCCATTGACCTAAAAGAACAGCAATCAAAGTTACCTACAATTATTGGTACTTCAAGTGTTTTGATGATCTAGCGTCAACATTGTATTATTTTTATTGGAAAAATACTTACCTCAATGGTAGCAAATAAGGTAGCACTGGTGATTAACGGTAAAATGAAGTACTGATCGGGTAATGTTAAATCTGTGAACCACCATAATCCTCCTGTTCTCAAACTTTCTACCGGTACATTAGACATTTGACGTAAAGCCATGAAGAAAGAAACGAAAACTGGCATCTGAAATAGAAGTTTTCTTTGTATTCGATAGACATAACCTTGTAGTTGTTATTAAAAAATGGAAACTTTTAAATAACATTTTTGAGAATGCAATAAAATCGACTAGTCTAGTCTCTAGCCCACGTCACGCCTACTCGCTGTAAACACCACATGAAGGATTGGTAGAATGAGCATTCGTATAGAACTTAAAGCTTAGGCCAGAAAAGCTATGAATGGTGTTACACTACATCAGAACCACTGCACATAGTTGACGTTTAGGCAACACACATAGCTACTACAAGTGAGTATGAAGTAAATGATAGCTATTTCCAAAGTGAAAATTATGCCGTTTAGATCGCTATGCCTGTCATTTTGCAGTTACGTAATAAGGGTGCGGGTTTCTTGTGATAATTAGGGATATATAATGCATCAGCATTAACCTATCGAGTAAATAGCATTCTTCTGGTGTAAATTATACTAGCGACGATCGCGTCAAGGCGTACGCACTGGTAAAGCGTTGAGCGCGCTGTAAAGGTAAGTTAATCATCGTTAAAATTCAGATAAACGTTCTTCGTTGTGTCAAATTTCGCATGATATTTTGTTAAGTCACACCATAATAATTCGTTACCATCTAACAGTGCGTGTCAACGCCGATCATTGTGTTCTCCGCGTGGAAATCGAGACACTCTCAACGTTTCTATGAAACCTAAGTTGCATTTTTGGGAATACAAAATCATTTTTTTTTTATATCGAAGCAGCCGCGCAGGCAGAAGCCTAAATGTCAGAACACCGCTATGATTATCCTGTGGATCGTTGGTGCCGGAAACCATACTGCCCGTCGCTAATCAAGATGTGACGTTCGAGGTAGTCCAGAAGCTCGCGATTTATGCACCTCTCCATCACCTTACTTATAACAGAAAGCAGAGCTATAGGTCTGTAGTTGTAAGGGCCGGTCTTTGATCCTTTTTTTTTGGGATGGGTTGGACATGAGCAAATTTCCAGTTTTCTGGGAAGGTGCCGGATTCATAAGATATCTGGAAGAGACGCGAAAGAACTGGAACAAGCTCCGCTGCACACCTCTTCAGTACAATGGCAGGAATCAAGTCCTAACCAGGAGCTTTGTTGATGTCGAGCGACAAGAGCACTCGTCTTACGGTCTTATGCCTGAATGTTGCCTCCCGCATAGTGTAGGAAACCCTTTGAATTAACGGCACTTGGGCATTGGGGGGAACGTCCATGGTGGAGTTGGCAGCAAAGATCTTGGCTAGCACTTTGAGTCGAATACAATAGTTCCATCCTGACACGTAAGTGGTGGAAGCCTACTGTGTGAGAAGTTATTTTCAATCTGCTTGGCCAGCGTCCAGAAAGACCGCGCTGCGACATTACTTTGTGCCTAACTTTTATAACGTGCTGGTTTTTGGCATTGCGAACCGCTTCGTTATATTTTATTATTATTTATATATTTCGACGTGGATAATTTCTGTTATCGAAGAACAGACAGCCGACGCATCCGCGTCAGTGAAACAGACATCTCTCCAAGGAAACCTAGAGAAGAAGTCTCTGAATCTCTCCCAGTCGGCATGTCCGTAATGCCAAGTTTTGCGGCCTGTACGAGTTTCTGCTGCCATAGCGGGTTCTGACCGAAACCTAACCTACACAACACCGTGGTCTGAGTTACCCAGGGGGGACAGGGCAGCAGTGCTGTAAGGGACAGGATGGGTGGTCAGAAAGAGATCCAGCCGGCTACTGGCGTGTGACGAGACGCGGGGGAAAAAGTAGGGCTCGTCACCAGCTGGGTCAGCCCTTGAGTAAACGCAAATATTCAAGCGAAGTAATAGTCATTTCCCATCAAAGATTTCTTACCTGCGCCAATGGAACCAGCATGTTTTTGAATGGACTAAGATTTTTCTCTTTCATAAAGAGCATCAACTCCTGAGTATACCTAGCCGCGTCTAGAGCATTACCAGTTTGTCTTGCTTCTGTCAATTTCATCTGTATAGCCTGCATTTGAGGTAAGCAATTATTCATCTTTGCTGCATTTCTTTGAGCTATGACTACAAGCGGGAATAAACATATCCTAATCACAAAGGTACCTGAAACAAGTATCAGTATCAATATGTGCTTTAGGAAAACAGTGAAATCATTTAATTAAGATAAAGGTCTACTGACTGGCATTGGCAGAACAGACATACCGCACGTAAGGGACTAAACGAAACTACCGATATGGGCTGTACAGATAAGGGTGCAGTTTTTATTAGGAATCCATGAAACCAACTTAAATCCCTTGACTCAACGCATAACTTTAAACAGAATATTATAAGGTGATTGTAACATATTCTGCTTACCAATGACAATAGCTCCCCACCACGGTACACCAAAATCAGCATGCAAGTGTTCCAAACAATTCTGGACAAGTCCTACTGGTGTATAACCGCCTAGTCCAAGGGAAGCTAGTGTGGGTTCCCCAAGGGCATTCACTTGATTAATGACTTCTCCAGCACCTTGAAAGAAATGTCTATTTTACCCGAGACATCGTTATAGATTATTGTAACGAGGAAGATGATAATATAATCCCATCCAGACATTACATATAGGAAAACTAGATACACGTAGACAACCTAGAAAAAAACATTCATTAACCGATGGGCGACATACTTGTCAAGATGTTGCTAATCAAGTAACATATGAAGATGAACGTCAAACATCTCGCGCGGGATCTCACTTGATTATGTGCGAAAGAACTGTTCCTTTCGCTTGCTTCACCACAGTGAGCGTGCACCTTGAAGGACTTTCCTCAACATTTTTTGCATTTCGTACTCTTTGAACTTGAATACTAATCTTTATGAAAGTATGAGCTTTATTATAAGGGTCGCACATGTATTATGGAGTTATATCAATTTATGGACGTCTTTCGGGCATATTTTATAACTGATACCTAGCAAATCAGTATCATTTTCTCTACTCAACAGTAATGTTTTTTGACCATAACCTACAATAGTCCTACATTTTTGTTTGACTTATCCGTATTAATGTCATGTTTTACTAAGGAGTACGAGCTGTAAGTGACAATAACTGCCACTGACGATATAATAACGTGTACTGTACCTAGAACTTTTAATGTCTAAGTGATGAAACAATTGACTTTTTTGCTTTAGTATGTTGACTTGTAGCATTTAGGGCTCGCGCAAACAGACAAACGTTCAGCGTTCAAGCCGCGTTCGTCCGGTCAATTCCTCTTAAGTGTTCTAACACAGACAGGATTCAGTCACGAATACTGCGTTCCATTTCACGAAGATTACTTGTAGGTGAAGCATGTATTTCGATAGTTCGTCTTCATAAGATGAAGCATTGCTTTTGTGGAGTTTGGAAGAGTCTAATAAGAAAAAAAGATAGTGGGTGCATCCGATTAATTGAGAGAGATGATAATGGAGAGTTTAATGTTCTTTTTACTGCATTGCTTGAAGACGAAGATCGATTTTTTATTTACTTCCGAATGTCATTAAGTAGTTTTAATGGATTACATGATTATATAAAAAAGGAAATACAGAAACAACACACCAACTGGAGAAAGACTATATCTACAAAATAAAGATTGGCAGTATTCTCCCATTTCCGTGGCTATTTCAAGCCATGCCGCAATTTTTTAACACCATTTTTATAGTCTGCGTTACTAAGATCATATAAAAAATGCCTTTCCCGTACTAAATCAATTAATTTTTCTATGGAAGCCATCTTGCGAACACGGTGTTCCACGAGTTGTTTGTATTTCTGATAATAGAACGCAAGAACGCGAGCGTTCACACTGACCGGCGAGGTCTGACTGCCGCTGTGTCTGCGCGACTCTATAGAGATTTAGAATTAGTTACAAAGAAGGTGGAACGCGGAACACTTTCTGTGTGTGCAAGCCCTTAACCGAAAAAGCAAATTAGCTGTATATCCTATTTCACGAATATCTTCACTTTTGTGTTAGTCTACAATGTTGGCAATAATGGATCGGGTATAAATCTAGTAAAGCTTGTTTGTGACGTTTTGTTTTTTGTATGCTAATAAAAAAGGTGTTAGCAAGTATAAAATCTGTAACATACAAAAAACCAAAACAAAATTCGGCTCTGTCTACCTGGCGTCGCCGGATCCGTCAGAATTATGTGCCGTGCCGATATTGGAAATTTTGAGATATTACTAGATAATCAGTTGTCATTCTACCGTGATGGATACTCGTGAAATAGGGTATAAGTATTGAAGATACCTCACAGTCGATCCATATGACTATTTGCTTTAGTATTTTAACAATTATTTTTAATTGGACGTAACTGCTTAGACTGTTGAAATAATATCCATGTATATAAAATAATTATGCAGCCTGTGAATATGAAATAACAGTTTCTAGCCATTTTGTAAAGGGATATAAGAAGTCGAGACTGGACGCTTTTTTCTCGCTTTCAGGTTATAGCTGCGGATCCCTTCTCTGTGAATGATACAAGTTATGCAAAGGATAAGTACCAGAACTGTTATCCAGGCATCAAGCTCAAATTGATATAATGTTCCGAAAATAATTGGTATTACCTTCAAATATAGGAGGCGGTTCAGGTATAGGTTCCAATGGTGTACCATCTAATGCGCTAGTATTTTTGAGTGGAAGTCCAGCAGCTTATAGAAATTAATTACAAATGTTTAGTGCCTATTAATTTGAACAGTACAACTACAATAGAGAACAAACTTATCAGTATTACCTTCCAATTCTGGGGAAGATCCAGATATAGTTTCTGCTGAGGTTCCTTCCGATGAGATATCACTTTCTGATAAAAGTTTCGCAGCTTGTGAAAATAATACAGCGATTTACAAATGTTTTAATGAAACATTAATTCAGTATATAGAAAATTTGGTATTACCTTCCAAAGTTTGTGGAGTTTCAGATATATATTCCTGTTGCAGTAATTCAGTAGCTTTTGCAAAAATAATATATTATATATACTATATACAGGGTGGGCCATAAGAGTGTTGGCGATTTAAATCTTAAATTTCTCGGAAAAGCGGGGAGCGGGTTTGGGGAGATAAGCAGTTAGCCGCGCCGTCGCCTGGAAATTTGGTCGCCATGGAGCCGTACACGGGAGCGCTGTGTGCATTTTATCTCCGAGCGTATTGTGAAAACAATAAATCGGTTATAACTGCACGACGTTTGTATCGACATGAACACGGTTTACGCGATTTAAGAGAAGTTCCAAGCGCCAATGGGATACGGAAATGGATCAAAATGTTCGAAACAACCGGCTCGACAGTAGCAATAACAGCTCGTGGTCGTCCAGTTTCTGCAAGATCAGCCGACAATGTAGAGCGTGTTCGTGTTTCAGTTCAGCGAAATCCGCAACAGTCAACACGTAAGAGAAGTCAGGCTTTGGACATCAAAAGAACGAGCTTGCGGCGAATTTTGAAGCGCGATTTGCTTTTGACGGCTTATAAGATTCAACTAGTCCAAGAATTAAGACCAGATGATGATAATAACCGACTTAACTTTTTCAATTTGATGATGGACCGATTCAACAGTCTGAACAATGTGATTTTTAATGATGAGGCCAATTTTCACCTCAATGGCAATGTTAACAAAATTGTCGGTTCTGGTCAGAAACTAATCTCCGACGCTTGCATGAACGTCCACTTCACAGCCCTAAACTAGTCGTGTGGATTGGAATTACGTCAACCGGTATTATTGGACCGTACTTTTTTGAGGACGAAAGAGGGCAAGCGATGACAGTTAAAGATAACAATTATTGCAATATGATAGCAGACTTTTTGGTGCCATCTTTGCAAGAACTCCAAGGCAATACCTCTAGAATGTGCTTTCAACAAGATGGGGGCCACATGTCATACAGCTGGGGAATCTATAGAGCTGCTGAAAAATATCTTTCCCGGAAAACTCATTTCGAAAAGGGGGATACTGAATGGCCATCACGTAGCCCCGATCTTTCTCCATGCGATTATTTCCTATGGGGCTACCTCAAATCGGTGGTCTACGAGAATAATCCAACTAATTTAGAGCAGCTGAAGAGGAATACTGTTCAGGAAAGTAACAAAATACCTAAATACCGAGAACAACTTTTCAACGAGTTTTCCAAAATCTGCAGCTTCAGTTTCAAGAGTGCCAAGCAGTCATTTGAACAACATTATTTTTAAGTCTTAAAAATTCCTCTTTCTACTTTTCAAAAATACATTTATTTTTCTTTTATATTGCGTAGTTATTTTTTAATTGAATATTGAAATTGTCAACACATTTATGGCCCACCCTGTATAATTATATAATGTTCGTCAAATATTATTTTCATTATTATAGTATGAAAAAAATGATATTACCTTCTAACGAGGGAGGAGGTTCAGGTGTAGGTTCATCTGGTAATATTTCCGCAGCTTGTAAAATAATACGGTATTTTAAAACATTTCTACACCCAAATAAAATTTTCAAATGTTATGTTTGGCATTACCTCCCAAAGTGGGAGTTAGAGAGAGGTAAAACTTCAGCAGCTTGAAAAAATTATCGGATTTCCTAATAGCACATGTCAAAGAATAGATCAAAATTGAAAAGTCCCCAACATCATTTCCATGGAGCTTTCATATCAGGAGAATCGACGAATGCGGGTAAATCGACCCCAGAACTTGGCGACCGATTTAAATTTTAGCACTCGTAACTACTGCGCAGCGATGGCGGTTGTAACTGTTTTTTTTTTTGTTCTTTCTGCATTTCTACCGCTTGTGCGATTTTTAACGCTGCAGGTTTTTGCAAATAAAATTTTTTCATGATGGCGTTGTTAAAATAAAGATTCATTTTTGGCAGCAGTGGGCGTCGAATCTTCTGATATATAGGCTCAATGTTTCATTTATATGAATATTTTGTTCAGTAAGAAACATATGGTACTTGGTACTACCTTGTAAATTGGGCGAATTTTCAGGTATAAGTTCTACTTGTATAGTATCTGATGTGATTGTAGCTTCTGATAATACTTCAGCTGCATGCACAAAAACAAATACAAATGTCAAATTAGTTTTTTATAATACATCACATTCTCAATTCAATACTGCCATATCTGCTATTTCAATACTGACAAACTCCAAATATAATTATATTGCAGTTACTGCAGTACTGAAATTGCAGTTATGGCATCCTTGAATTGAGGGTGTGATATATTACACTATAGTACACGTAGTTTCCTCAGATGCAGTGGCCTATACAAGGATGGATGCAAAATATTGATTATGTCCTACGTGAATTTGCCAAGTCGTCATTGATTTATTCATCTCAAGATTTGCAAAACAGTATGTTATTCACATGTTGTACAAATGTACAATTCTATGGCTAAAAAATTTTAGCACTGACCTAGAAGCATTTTGTCTTTTTTTTCTAGCTTTGCTATTAGATACTGGTATATGTGACAAAGGTTGTGGATGATTTTTTCAAACCCATACATGGTAGCCTCATTTAAACACATTTAAAGGCAGAATTTGTGATGGGTGACATTCATTGGTTTCAATTTTTACAAGACAAGAGGAAGAAGAGCTGTCTGTCTTTGCCTGGCAACATGGCGATGGCTCTTTCTAAGATACATGTTGCATTAGTGTTGTATGCTTCTCTCTCTAGTAAACATTGAGAGGTGAGACTAAAAAGAAAATGAATTTCACTGTATGGAAAGAAACACTAGTTTGCATCTCAAGTACATTAATAATTAAGTCTTCAGCAATTTTCATAGCGAGAAGCATGTTCACTATTTGTCAACTTTCCTCCAATATTTCTGTATTATGATGCTTCAAAAATACTCAAAAATACATGATTTTTCTCACTGTAATAGCTAAATTTTGCGTACTTTTTTTGAAAAGGCAAACTTACGCTATTTTCAAGCTGTTTGAGGTGGAAGCAACGTTTTCACTAAACAAGTTGAAAATGTGAAACTGTACATTCTCTAAAATAAGTACAAAAATGCAAATTGCAGTTTTGCAGATGTAAAATGACACTCCTTCCAAATTTACTTGTAACCTGTCACTCAGACATTTTGGAAAAAATCCTGAAAATAGAGCTAAAATGTATCCCTTGAATTTTTGTCTAATTGGAAATAGAAGATATAAATATTTTTGTAAATTATGCACCACCTGAACTCAAATTCTATATATGCCACTGCGCAGATGATATATTTCCTTACAGTGCTATCTGCTTGTAAGGAATATATGCAGTTTGGATAACCTTTTATAGAGTTTCCATTATTTACAAATAAACCTCACAAGAATTACCTTGAGATACTTGATGAGGTTTTGTTATAGGCTCCACCAATATTACATCTAGTGACTTGTTGGTCAATCCTGATACAAATTTTGCAGCTTGTAAAATCATATTATACAATTAGCGAAAAAAAAAAAAAAATAGTTTCTACATTATTGAAAAAGAGTAAGCTTAGAAATTTAGTTGGTTATATCCCTGGCATGGCTTTTAATTCATTAGTAATTAGTTGGATTTTATGCATCAGCTTGGTGCAAGATCAAGAGCCAGTTTATTCAGTAGATAAGCATGTGGTAGCAAGTAGCAGTACAGTGTTGGTACAATTGGGTCATCAAAAGGGGTCAAGGTCTAATGGCTGGACTTCGGCCTCCACCACTACTACTTGGTTAAATGTTTTTTAATAATGGATGTTATCAATTTAAGATCATAAGAAAATAAATACATATAATTTCAACACAAAGTCACAAGTTTATGCAACTGTCAAAACAAACCATTATGCTTTACCTTCAGGTATAACTGGAGGCTCTGGTATAGCCTCAACTGGGACTCCATCTGGTGATTTGCTAGCTACTTGTGAAGTTAACTCTGCTGGTAAGCTATCTTTAGATCCTGGGTTCACTGCAGCAACACTAGCTGAACATAACAGAATGCCTTTTCCATTTATAAGTTTCTTTTGGACTGTTGAACATGCTTTTTGGAATTCTTTTTTGAATAGCCTAACTCTTGTACTCTGGAAGATTGAAGAAACATATGTCACTTTCATTAATATGTTGAATGCTAACTATAAGATGCCTCTTAGGTTCTTTACCAGCCCAGGACACCAACTAAGAGTTAAATTATGGCAGATTACAGATCAATTTTGTACAGCAATGACAAAGGTTGTAAAATAACAGCACACATGAGTATTTGGTCTCTCTGAAAACAAGAAAAATCAAGATTGGCTTAAATTTAATAAGACGTGTTGGGACAGATTGAAGCATATCAGGGACACTGTGAATCCCATATCTTGTGGCTGACGTTCACAGGAGATTTATTTTACATAGTATGAGATAACTTGTAAAATGTTTGTTCTATGTGCTTTTTGTTGATAGTATGACAATTACAGTTTTTAATGATAGAATATGATTGAATTACATTGGCTTCTGGGATTGGAATCTATGAAAGTGCTATGGCAGTCAACATGTAAGTTGCCTTAAACAACTGCACAGTATATTACCTCTGGGTTTTGAATAGCAACATTCTGCGACTCTGTTTCTTTACTAAAGGCACTTACAGCTTCTGTTGTCTTCTGCAGTTTACTTGCCTCGGTCAAACTTTTCTAAAATACAAATAAAACGTCTTAACAAGCAGATTAAAACATACTTTCATCAGTACCATTATTTTATTCCAAACTCCAGATGAGTACATTCTGTTCGAGTTTCCTAAATTAATAACATCCTGGATGTGGAGAATATTCCTAGATGAGATTTCCTACAAAAAGTCATCATGAAAAAATGTAGCCATAACCTTAAAAATTTAAACACACCTTAACGTTTTTCACATTATCCAAGTAATATTTGTATCTAGCTATGGTACAATATCGAGACATTTTGATATCAAGACGAATGCAAAAACTATTACGACTTATAAGAAAATTAAACCCGGCTAATTATAAAAGATTTGCAATGCATGTTCTATTCTGAATTCTGACATTATTTTGCCGATAAAAAATACGTGCCAGTGTTGCAGGTTGCAGTCACCGTGAGACAGACCCTGAGCTGAGACCTGAGATTTATGCTGGTGACAGCGAATAGAGATGGTAGTCGCAAAGCACCGTTCTCTAACAATAATGAGACAGAGGCGGACTAGTCCGTCGCCATGAATTTATATGGCTTTTCAGTATTCCTTGTATACTTGGATTGTTATAGAATAAAGACAACCGAAACAGGACATTGAAGAGCATATATTTGAAAGTTTATATTTCTACAACACTAGTCGGCAGAACAAATTATTTAAAGAGTCGTTTCCTTTCTAACCAAAAACGTCCACAGGCACTGTAGGTATAATTTCTTTATTTCTGGGTGGAATCTGAGTCTGGCTTGCATCAAACGCAAACTCGTCGTCCACTGATTACTTCCCACACCACTGACCAGGATGCATTTCAACAATGATATATATTACGTGTTTTGGCTGATATATTATATATACTCGTACAACAGAAAAACCATGTCACTCATTCCCGCACGGCTAGTATGTAAAAAGCCTAGAAAAAAAAAACAATGAATTGTCATCTTTCAGACTAGGTAGTTTTTAGAGTGCAAATAGTCCATTTCACGTTTGCTCGCTATGTTGGTTGCAGAAAACAAGTATGTTTTGTGAAGCCGAGTAGTCTGCAGTGTTTATTTGAGAAGATGTGAAAGAAAGCAAGTTGATTGAGTAGCAAGATCGCATCTGGATGATTCTGTGTATTGGTCTGCATGTGTATAAGATGTGAAAGAAAGCAAGTTGGTTGAGTAGCAAGATCACATCTCTATGATTATGTATATTGGTCTGTCTGTGTATAAAATTAGTGATATTTGCTATGTGAGAACATTATTACTGAATATGCTGCCAAAAAGGTATATCTATTAGCTGTGCCTGACGGGTTATTTAGATGTTGTCCTTTCTGAAAACAGGTTATGTTCAAAGTTATAAATTACGATTTTTCCCGTTTTTTGTGTTGTGAAAAACTTTGAGGAGTATTGCGGGAAATTGCTAACGCGCCCGCTTTGTGTGCAATTAAGCCACATCACAGAAAGGTTAGGAATGACGCATCACACCTCAACCATTTTCGCAGTGCCTCACTTCTAGGCGCTGATTTGTATTTTCTATTGATCGCAAAATAAATTTCAATAAAATTTAAATGGCTGGAAATAAAAAATAATGTAATAACCTTTTCAGTTTCATAAATATTCCTGTCTGTAGTATTTTCTCACCTGTTACTTCACCAACCATTGATTTTCTTTTCTTATCTCTTTAATTTTTGAAATTCAGCAAATTTGCATATCTAATTTCCAGGTTGAATAAGAAAAAGTGGATGCGCAACTAATTTAAAGTTTTGAATACATCTCAAGTAAGTCTATTTGAGTCAAGAAACTAATGGAATTATCATCAACACAGATTATTAGCACATACATTCTCACTATACACCTATGCACTGCAGTTTCCTTCCAGCTATAGTCTATAGTATACAACTTACTTAGACCTCCAATATAATGTCATCTCTGAAGTAGGTGTTACATCACATCATAGCCAAACATTGAAAACTGAAGCATCATGACGTTTAGGCAACACGTACAACTACAAAACGAGTTCACAAGTCTCCATCAGCTAGTGCTAAGTTAACATCTTGTAGAAAAACCTGGGTTATGCCAAAAAACAATATATTGTCAAAAAAATCGACATAATGTCACTTGTCAAGATACATTATACACATGCCGTCGGACAGTCTCTTTCTTAGTCTGTCTGACTGTCCGTTAATCCGCACAAGTATTATGTGAAAAACCTATAAAACGTAAAAAAAAAACCTATAAAATTTTATCTTGCAGACTAGGTAGTTTTTAGAGTGCAAACAGTCATTCCACGTTTGTGACAAGTTTATAGACAAGTTTGATGTACAACCTGTCGCTCAGACGGAAATTAAATGAAGTAAAATTGGATAATTGGTTGCACCGGTGGCTCAACCGGTGAATTAAAAAATACGCGTCCTGTCGCTGAAAAAACCTATTGCCAGAAAGCACCATCTAACTTCATACCAGCTGCAAGGGTTCCATTCATGACGGGCGAGTAGTAAAGGCACCGGAACGGACGAAAGTTGACTCATATACTATAATATACTCACGGTGCATATTCAAAGTCCATAATTCCACTTCTACGGCCTTATGTCACAGCACAAGGCTTTTCATAGCCCTCGAACAATAAAGATATGAGAATGTGTAAAAGATGTAGTATACACATGCTGCATATCCAAAGTCAATTTGTTCAGAATTTATTTATTTCTTCAGTGAGACTGACAATATAAATGAAACTTTACGTTTTACTGACACACACATATGACATGAGCACGTGACGCCACATGCACTGAAATCCAAATACTACTGACGTCGTAATGTATACGAGATATAAGCGCGAGAAGCGCGTGCAATACGTGTGTTAGAAAGAGATAGAAGCACATCGTTGCCTCGCAACCCGAGTACGAGGTCACGGAAGCCTTCGGCGCACTCTTTCTAACATACAATCGAACGCTTATCGCGCCTCTCTCATACACATTACGACGTCAGCCTAATTTGAATTTACCGTATACATCAGATATGAGTGCAATACAACCTCATTATCCGTGGTGTGTTTGGGTGGTGTTTCGTGTTGGCGTTGGCCATTTTGTGTGTTTAAAGTTTTTATAATTTCATTTACTTTTTTGTACTTGTTTCCAACAAACCTTAATTCGAATCTACTGCATTGCTGTTGCACTTCACAACACAACACGAAGGCATTTTAATAGTTTAAACTTTGAATTCTTAACTTTTTACGATAATAGGAACAATCTAGTGTTTAAATAATTAATCCAAGATATTCTCAGCAATTACTAATGTTTGATTGATATGATATTTGAAACGATATTGCCAGTCGCAAATCAAATGGTGATGCTCGAGATTTAAGAAACTCTATATCAATGTAATGCTAAACGCGCGTTTTTTGCAGCGCGATAATTTAACGTCCGTCTATACCTGTAATAAAAATAGGTATAGTTGTTGTCCTTATTGTTAAAATAAATATCCTCAAAAAAGACACTAGTCAGCAAGGGAAAACAGTCTATAAGGAAAATTTTTCCGCATTTAGTTGCTGAAATACTTTTTGCTTATTTGTTCAATGAGTTCGTTAGACATAAAGTTAATCTTGTCCCCATCGCTACCTTAATAAAATTATTACAGGCTACGTGCTTACCAATATCCAAAATCATTCAATTTTTTTCAGCTCCGCTCTTCAAATTTCCAAATTCGCATTCACATATGTATTATTTGAGACACCCTATATATGGAAACAATATGATTGCCAAAGGAACAACGTAAACAAAAATTCACAAAAATTGTCAGTGAAAGATGATAGACAATTCTTCATAAAATTTCAGAGTATCAGTTTCATTAACGGAGAAATTCTAAAAATGGCTCAACAACTTGGTCTTCTCCGGCGAGTATTCCTTCCAACCAGCCCTCGAGTTATCCACCGAACCTTTAGCGATGAGTTGGGATATTGCCCCAAAAAGGAACTGGAAGCATGTGATAATATCCCCACCAAAGGCTTAGTATTAGGCATGTACACAAATCCAGATGATCAGCATGACGTGGGGAAACTAACCCCAACTGGAGAACGATTCGACGCAATGGTATGTCATCGCCTCACAGACCTACTTAGGTATACCGGTCCACCCCCAGGTAGACTCCAAACCAGAGTGTTTTACAACTTGGAACCAGAATTCGCAATGGTTGCTGTCGTAGGACTGGGACGTATATGCCAAGGCTATGACATCTTCGAGCAGATAGATGAAGGTAAAGAAACTATCCGTCTAGCTGCAGCCCAAGGTTGCAAAGCTTTGCAGCGCATGAGCATAAGAAGAGCGTTTGTCGAAAGCTTTGGTCATGCTGAATCGGCAGCTGAAGGTGCAGCTTTAGGTGTCTGGTTGTACCAAGAGAAGAAAATGAGGAAACACCAGCTAAGAATCCCTACACTTGACCTGTATGATGATTGCGATTGGACAGGATGGCAAATCGGCCTGCAAAAAGCAGCTGCGCAAAATCTAGCTAGGCAACTGATGGATACTCCAGCTAATCTGATGACACCTACATCTTTCGCACAGAATGCTGTAGAGGTTCTTTGCAAGTCAGGTGTGAACGTTGAAGTGAAGGTACGCGGTTGGGCTGAAACTCAAAAGATGTACGCTTTCCTAGCTGTAGCTCAAGGATCATGTGAGCCACCAATTTTCTTGGAATTGAGCTACTATGGTGCGTGCCGCGATGAAAGACCTGTTGTGCTCATTGGTAAAGGTATAACCTACAACAGCGGAGGACTGTGCTTGAAACCATGTAATAAGCAGAGATTCATGCGAGGTGACATGGGAGGAGCAGCTTGTGTCTTGGCAGCTTGTAGAGCTGTAGCTGGGCTGCAGTTGCCAATCAACATCAGAGCATTGATTCCACTATGCGAAAACATGCCTGGTTGTGCAGCAATGCGACCTGGCGATATAGTCAAGGCCATGAATGGTAAAAGCATCAAGATCCAATCTACAGATACTGCTGGGAGGTTATGTTTGGCTGATGCTCTAGTCTACGCCCAAAACTTCTGGCCGAGGTTCATCGTGGACGTAGGGACAATGACTAATGACATGAAGCATTCTCTGGGAGCTGCAGCAAGCGGAGTGTTTAGCAATTCGGAGGCTCTTTGGGAGTACATGCTGGCAGCCTCTATGCACACTGGTGACCGAGTCTGGAGATTCCCACTTTGGGATCATTTCACCAAATTGGTAGCCCATCACCATGACGTCGACGTAAAGACATTTGGAAGAGGAGGAGCACCTAGATGCGGCGAAGCCTGTAAGGTTGCTGCTTTTCTCAATGAGTTTGTACCATGTGGAGATTGGTTACACCTAGATACCTACGGTGTAATGTTGTCCAATGGTAAAGACTATACTTATCTTCGTAGAGGGATGTCTGGAAGACCAACACGTACATTGGTAGAGTTTCTGTCGCAACTTGTCTGTCATCGTGAATAGCAAGCAACGCGTGTGCGTCTTCGTCTGTCTAATTTGTGATGTGGATTTTCAAAAACCCTAACATCGTTGAGTCCATTGTCTGTTGAAAGAATGTATCTTTTGGTCAATAAAGCTACTTTTCGAAGGATCTTATCTACACATTGTTATACTGCTGAAGACAAACAATTGACGTTACACTTCGCAAGCAATAAGTTGGAATCGATTTTGGAAATATTTAAAATTGACTTTACTCCCCACAAAAGAGAGAAAATTGTATTAGCGAGAAAGCGGTATTGGATGGATTTTTCTGATATTTTTGGGTGTTTTAAGAGATTGTAAGGGGCTAAGTTATTTGGCGAAAGCGTGTAAAAAGTATTACCAGGATATGGGTGGTCCCAGTAGTGCGTCTATTTTTTTTTTCGCGATAAATGGACTTAAAAGGCTTTTTGGTTTTTTATTTTTTCCAGCCCTAAAATAGTAGTAATCAAGCATATGGTTGTCTGATTTTTAACGGTGTCATTGCAATAATACTCCAGTCAAAATGAAAATTAGGTTTGCAAAAATTTCCACTAAGCTGGAAATTGGTTCAGACCTTGAATATACTATTATGAATAGTACAAGTATGCCAAAACTCCTAATATAGTGGATACCAAATAAAATCCGGTGCACGTCATAGGTGATGTCATTCATAAAAATCATGGTTACCAACAGTTGACTACATTCAATGTGACATTTCTACTTGAAGTTTAAATTTCCCCGTCTCGATTCGGTTGGTAGTGCCGTGCAGAGAAATGTGAGGTTGCCACTTCTCATTTGTTGACGTCAGTTGCCATTGTCCTTTTGTCGTACTATTAGTTCTTTATTGTTTAGTTTGTGAGTTTTGCGCTATTTGAGCTTTGAATCGTTGCCTTGCCAATTAAAAGTTGTTCTTTTCAGAACAAAAGTTACTGTGAAGTGGTATAAAGTATCCAAAATGCCAAAACAACTTAACAGTCGGTGTAAAGAGCTCATATCAATTCTGGCAACAGCGCACAGCTCCAGATCGATGACGTGCATCGGGTTTTATTTGGTATCCACTATACATCCTTATTGTGTAAACTTGTTTTATTTGGGTTTACATGTCAAAAATATCATGCCTTGTCATATTTCTCTAAAACGGGAAGAGATACCACAAAAATACCTCATACAAATCTTATGGAGAATACAAGGATTAATACAAGTTGTTCGAATGATTTTATTCATTGAGTCACTGTTTTTTAGACTTGGTCTTTCATGCACTTTTCTGCTCTTATGCGGCATATATTGTACGCTATCTACCGTTCAATATGAACATACATCATTGATGTGTACCACCACACGCAGGGTGTGCAAAAAAGGTGCTAATGATTTTTCTAAGAATACAAACCATGAGAAACCAAAGAATAATTTAACCCAAAATGTTTGATAACTCAAAAAAGAAATTTATAGTATTTATCCATTCCATTTAAACACATTCTGGTCTGCTAAAGGTGCGCTCAAAATAAACGAAAGGGTAGTCGTATTTTCGAAAGAAAAAATCGGCCTTGGAGCGCAAAATTTTCTTTTTGATTTGTGTCAAAATCACTATTTTTTATATTTCTCTGGTGCAACTAACCACAAAAATATTTTATACCAAAATCGTAAAGCATGCAATTCTCTATAGTTTCTAGTCGCTTAAGCAGGGTTTAAGTGGGTATAATTTTTTTTGAAAATACGATTTCCCTTTCGTTCATTTTTATGCGCAACTTAACTGGAACAGTATGTTTGAATGGTACGGATTAATATTATTAACTTAGTTTTTGAATTACCGAACATTCATAGTTCAATAGTTTCGTATACAAATCTATCTTTGCATGTTCATGGAATGCATTTTCAGAAAAATCATTGGCACTCTTCTGAAACACCCTATATAAGCGGTATGTATTTTAGTAGATATAAGTCGCATACATTAATGTTTCCACAATATGTTCATATTGAACGGTCGATGGCGTACACATGATATACGCCACATAAGAGCAGAGATCTCTATACCTCAAGCCCGACATGTAACGGATACATCGCCTCTACTTGCCAAAAACTTTTTGCATGTGGAGTGTTCCCACACCAAAATTGCATAGGTCATACGTCTTTTAGATTACGAGTGAGGTAGATAACTCTGGACAAACCGTCCACAGCATAACGAGCATGTACCTACCAGGCCAGAGTGCAGTCCATATGCACACCTAGCAGTTTCACTGTCTTCGAATACTCCAACTCATGACTGTGTAGACTTGATATTATCGACTGAGTCTTATCAGCATTTAGTGATAGCTTGTTGGCAGCAAACCAATCACCAAGGTCGGACTTGCATAATGAGCTATTCTTGGCGAGGTTATTTGTACATACATCAGAACTTACCAAAGTGGTGTCATCAGCATATAAAAACAATACACTATTGAGCGTCTCTGATAAGGAATATCATTGATATATAATAAAAACAGGTGTGGCCCAAGAACGGATCCTTGAGGACTCCGTGGACTACTGCTTTGCTGTCGAAAGTAATACGCTAGTTGTTCTCTGTCAGATAGATACGATTCTGAGATCTTAATACTACCAGGATAAATGTGGTATAAAGGCATTTTTTTCAATAAAACAGAATGCTGAACACAGTCGAAAGCCTTTGACAGATCGCATGAAATGTCGTGTCTATTGAACGTGTAACGGATCCGTCAATAAATACTGATGTACTAGGCATATGTGACTAATGATAGGAGAGTTGATAAAAAATGGCTCCCAGAGATTTCTAGCTAAGCTGGCAGGTGCAAGGCGAAATCCAGCAACACTGATCTTCTATCTAGGCGCTTGGCTAGCCACTGGCTAAACATGGCCAATGATAAATTTAAACTGTCGATGGACAAAAAATAAAGGTTGTTTTCCGGTTAATCGTATTACAGGTTATATTTGGTTCGGTTAACCAGTGCCGGTTAAAGTTATTGATGGAATAACCTGTTAACTTATAACGGGTTTTTCATCAATAACCGTCCATCCCTCCGGCCACCTTATAAAGGCAGCTACAGACATGTGAAATGTGGCAAATGCCAAATGTTTGATTATTTGCGAACTACCAAGCATACATCTAAATACATGTGTTGATTTGCCAAGTTTCAAGCAAAATTCGGAAACTCAAATTTTGTTGTTTGCTGTTTGTTTGCAAATATGGATATAGAAACCGCAGCTGCAGCTTTTCTTGTTATAAGTAGTGCCTATTTGTTACTAAAGAAGAAAAAGAAAAGAAAGCCAAGAATATGGTGGACGGTGTCACTTATCAGAAGCAGAGAGAAGTAAGTTTGCAGACTGGAAATTAAGAAATAGTTTAATAATGTAATCTTTACTTGTAGATACAGTGGCAGCAATTTGTTGGCAGATCTGTTAAAAGAAGCTTCTGGTTTCTTTGAAAACTTTTGTAGGATGTCTTCTGAGGATTTTGAAATTTTACTTAATATGGTAGAGTCGTATATTGTAAAGTACACAAAATGGAGAAAAGCCATTCCAACAAATGAACGTGTGGCCATAACATTGCGATTTCAAGCCACCGGTGACAGGTTTAAGAGCCTTATCTTTTCAAAGTTTCATCCCAGTTGATATCAAGCATTGTTCCTGAAGTTTGCAAGGCAATAATAAAAGTATTGGGAGATACAATAAAGGTAAGAGGTACAATTTGTAAAATAATATATATTGAACGTAATTTATAGGAACATAACAAAGCTCTCTGGACAAATTGGAGCATATAATAGAAATAATACCAATCTTAAAAGATAGAAATATTTCACTGAAAAGTTGTTAAAAAAGTTGCGATTGTTATATCTTCGTTGGACTGTAATGAATTAACATCGTCAGTTACAGTGTTGATTGAAGGTAACTCTGGTTCCGAGTGATAGGAATGGGAAACATCTGAGACTGGTGAAGATGAAATCTGTGAATGGGATGAAGAGTATGGTTGTGAACATCTGACATCTGTCGGTTGTGGAACGACGTGTGTTTGAGGAGCAGGCAGGTGTTCATTATCTGAGCAACAGGTATACTGATACTGAGAATAACCCATTTTTGTGCGAAAAACGATATTATCTATTTGATTCATTACGATGTCTCGCGTTCGCTCATCCATTTTGCGCAGTTTTACAGCAAGAAATTCGCAATATAGATCGCAGTCATCTTTGTTATTTTTTTTTTCTTAAGTATAGAGTATGCTTCTTGCATTTGTGTATGCAGGGCTTCATCTGCTGCTAACGAACCTCTCATTTTCTTCTTGCTAGGAATCTTGAAAACACTTTGTGGGGAGGATTTAGATAATGTTGTTCCAACATTTTCACCATGCTCACTTCCATTTGTTGCATCAGTTACATCATCCTGTATTTGTTCCGGTTTGTCGCCTTCGCTGAATTCCTCGTCTAGCTGTGACAGAATATCCTGAAAATCACAAAATTAAAATGATATTATCCTAGAACGCCATTTGTCTCTATTGTCTTAAAATAATAATAATAATAATAATAATATCATTAATACCAATTCTACTTCCGTTTTTTTTTTTCACGGTTTTGGCCGGTTAAATTTATTCAGATGAAGAAGAATTCACTTCGACCAACTGATATTATTATTTTCATTATTATTATAAGTACCATAATATTCATAATCATTGTGGCTCAATAATTGTATGTATGCACTTTCAGATGACTACATCCCAAGAAGGGTGGAGAAGTATATCAAACGACTTTGAGAGATTGTGGAATTTTCCCCATTGTGTGGGCGCCTTAGACGGAAAGCATATAACTATACAGTCTCCTATTAACAGCGCATCCGAATATTACAATTATAAGAATTATTTTAGTGTCGTACTAATGGCTTTGGTAGATGCAAATTACTGCTTCATATATGCAGATTGTGGTTGCCAAGGCAGGCTTAGCGATGGAGCAGTATTTCGGAATACTCAGTTGTTTACCAAAATCGAAGGTAATAAGTTAAATTTGCCTTTGGATGAATTCTTTAACAGTACCAACTCCCAGATGCCATATGTCTTCATGGGTGATGATGCATTTCCTTTAAGCACGTGTATGCTGAAGCCGTTTCCTGAACTGCACACAAAGGGCAGTAAAGAGAGGATTTTTAACTATCGTCTATCACGGGCGAGACGTGTAGTAGAGAATGTTTTTGGAGTAATGTCCTCTGTATTGCGAGTCTTACGAAAACCAATGCTACTTGAGGCAAAAAAGCGACAATTATCACTATGACTTGTGTCGTGCTGCTTTTTTGAGAAACAGTACAACTTCACGGTCACAATATTCACCTCCGGGAATGTTTGATGCTGGAGAAGAAGGAAATATCGAAACAGGTTTCTGGCGTCGTGATCAAGATGACCTAGCATCACTGTTACCTTTTAAGAAGATGCCAAGAAAAGCAACTATGGAGGCAAAAATTATTCGGGATGAATTTCCTGAATATTTCATGGGAGAAGGTCGGATTGATTGGCAAAACAATTATTGTTAAATCTTGAAATTTGTACACAGTGTCGGGCATAAGTAGCCCTTATTTGAAAAACCATAGGAAATAAAAAATAAATAAACGGTTCTACTAGCCTCTGAATTTAGTGTTTTCTTTGGTTCGTCCTTATTCCTCAAAACACGTGCCATTGTTTCAAAGGCAAACCAAGTGGGTTTATAAATATCACTGGCACCTGCTCCACTTTTACTACTTTCTTTTACTTTATTCAAGCATGTTCGAAATGATAACATTAGTGACCCCTTTTTCTTTTTTAAGTCGGATATAGAACAAGGCGTGCTTAATTTATTCTTTATCCGTAACCATGCATCATATACGTCGTTCCTATTTTTATGATGAATATGCGAAGCATTCCATATTGCAGGTTCCTCTTCGTACAATTCTAAAAACTCCAGCACAAGTTCGTTTGCCAACTCCATCTCGAACTCGGGCACACTTGCTTAGCACTGCGATATCAATATTTAAATACGGGGCATGTGTGTATCTGAAACAACTACGCACAATCTCAAATATTTGTCTCCTTTGATTTGTACTTATTTACCGACAATTGATGGGAAATATTTGATGTATGACAAATAACAAATATTTGTGTATTTTCATATAGTGTGTGTCTGAGATATTTGCCAAATATCAAACATTTGGTGTTTGAAAGTTGACAAACTTCACATGTCTGTAGCCGCCTTAATACACAGCAGACAAAAATTCCTGCGTGTTTCGTGTGCAGTAGCCCTTATCTGTTTCCTCATTTTCGCCCTGCGCATTCTCCAGATTTTCCGAGAGCGTGCGTAGTGTCCGTCGGTATCTGTAGTCGTGCTGCGGGTTCGAGGAAAATATGTCATCCCGACCAATTCTCTAAATTCATCCATGTAATTTCGATGTGACGCACAACTGTTCAACGCACAGTCAAAATTAATTTTGAAGCCATTTGTATTTAACTTCTGTAACTTTCCGATTTTTTGAATTACTCATACAAGCGAGTTCGATACAAACTTATTTGCAGGCTGATATCAAAAACTAATAAAATGGTTGTGAATCAACATATCTGTAAGTATTGTTAAAGTTGCTACTTACAATTATCAGTTTTATTATAACTCACTAGAATCTTAAGCTTTTCACATTGCCTATAGAATATTCACATGAAACCCAAAAATTATATGACTAGATATCATAATTTTAATTTCCTTAGGATATGCACAGCAAGAATGTATGAATATTTGTAAGTTGGCAAAATAATTAACTTGAACAATTTGTTTCTCTCATATCAAGTCTTAATCAATTCAAAATCACAATAAAAAATGTGACAAAAATCAGAGCGTCTTCTATCGTTTGAAATATACAAATTACTTGTAGAAAGTGTCTTGGACCGTTCATCGATTTTGGATGCTGTGTCCTTGAACTTTACAGAACTTCTATTAACTTCGATTTGTGTCAGGTGATTACCTGGTTAAAACTTACTGATCGAATCGTTCTAGAAAGGTGACCATCATCTTAGAACAAGTTTCCAGTTTCGCTACAAAATGATGGAAAGTAGTAATTCTTGTATACCCAAATTAAAAAAAAAATGGCACGGAGCTCGAAAAATTCGAAAATTCTAGTGTTGGTTACGAGAAATTCGCCAGTTAGTTTGTGTAATGTAAAATTACAAGTATTTTAGGTCGTATATGCCTTACTTACCTTGTGTTTAGTTTTGTTATGTTATAGCAAAACTTTTTATTGCTGAAAATAAGATTGAAATTATGATACTTATTGATGATATAGTTTTGAGATTTTTTATCAGCATTTTTACCATTTTTCTGAACGGATTACGTTTAAAAAACCTATTTGGCTAAAGGAATTTCAGTACATCTTATACAACAGAGGTATCAATACATGCCAATTTGGCAAGGGGCGGTATTTGGTTAAAAATTGTAATTAAAATATCAATTTTTGCTGATTGTATTTGCCACTAATTGTGCTGTATCTTGAAAATGCTTCCAGGTCAACAGTAAAAAGGGCATTTTACTAATTTTAACTAATTCTAAGTAGACACATACCTATAAGTGATGCGTTAATCCACAATGTCTTTCAAAACTGAGATTGGAAGTGAACTAACAACAAAAATTGAGCAAAAGCTTAATAACCTGACATTCATTGTTGTAGCTGATTGAAATTTCTGATTTCTGATTTACCTACAAAGTACAGGGTGGCGCAAAATCGTAATGGATAAAGTTCTTTTTACTAACCTAGTTTTGAAAATATGCTTTACTGTTGGGAAATTAGGTATGGACGCTAACATCTCTCAAAAGGTGGATATATTTTGCTTTCCGTACTCGTATTATTTCATAGCGTTTTCCAAAACTTTCCGTTAGATTATGGGAGTTATGGCAGCGATTTAATTTTGAATATCGTATTTCAAGTATACGTTGTTTCTTGACTGATTCATAAACACACATTCATTCAAAAACATCCAAAGAAAAAACCTAGGGAGTTCAAATCCGGTAAATGTAGAGGCTAATTAAAACTGGCTTTAGAAAAATGTATCCTTAACAGAGCCGTTGATACTTCTTTGCAGTTTGTTGAAACCTCAAGTTGACATAGTTTTCCATAGCTCTCAATAAAATGTTGCAGAATTATTCATTTTTGAGGGCCAGTAGTGAAAACTGAACTTTCTTGTAAACTCTCACATAAACATTCGACAAAAATCATAAATTCATTACTTTGCGTAATTCGCGTAAAGTACTTTTTCGTGAATACGAGGGATGTCTTTTAAGTTTTGCATATAGAAACATAGTAGGCCGCGCGGATCGAACGTCAGTACTAAATCTTAACCTCACTGTTTAGTTTTTTTTATACTCCAACTACCACGAAGGCCTAAGGCCTAAGCACCCATTGGGTATCGTGGGGCTATTGGGGGATACATGGGAAAGGGGGAACGCCACACGGACTCTGGCGAGGGAACACGGGTGCATGCAACTAGCACACATTCTGGCTCCGCCTACGAGATCCGCCGGGTGGTACCTCCGCGTTCGACAGTCAGAGACCGTCTACCACCTACGGACAATCACAACATCCATAGCCAAGAGAAAAATTTCTCCTGGGACGGGACTCGAACCCGCACAGCGCACGGCGACTGATCAGGAGACCGAAGGGTCTACTACTGCGGTCACCGCTGCTGCCTATATAAGTAAACTTAAATTCAAAGTTTCACAACAATACGTGCAGTGTTCTCACTACAATGAATTTTTAAGTGTCACAAGTCATTAGAAAAATGGAACTCAACCGAGAACATTTTCGCGCCATAATTTATTACACCTTTCAGAGACAATTATCGCAACAAGAATGTCATGCTGAGTTACTGTCTGTTTTCGGCAACGAAGCGCCACATCAGTCGACAATTTCCCGTTGGTATGGAGAATACAAACGTGGACGGGTGAGTCTTAGCGACGATCCCAGGGTGGGTGCACCAAAAACGGCAGTCACCCAGGAAAACGTCGATGCTGTGCGCAAACTCATCATTGAAGATAGACACGTGACATATCGCGAGATTGAGGCGTCCTTGATGATCTTAAAGACCTCGATTCAAAAAATTTTACATGAAGAATAAGGAGTAAGAAACTTAGTTTCTCGTTGGATATCCCACCTGTTGACTGAAGAGCAGAAAGCAGCTAGGGTTAATTGGTGTCAAAAAACGCTTGACCGTTTCAATTCCGGAAACTCAAAAAATGTGTACAGCATTGTTAGTGGTGATGAATCGTGGATTCACTGTTATGAACCAGAAAATAAACCACGGTCGGCTTTTTGGGTGTTCCAAGGTGAAGGAAAGCCAGCAAAAGTCATCCGTTCTCGAAGTGTTTCGAAAAAGAGAGAGCAAAGAGCTGTTACTGCGGATTGATATACCACCATTTGTTTGACAAAAGTCATCACCGAGCTTCGAAAAATCAACCCCGAAAGAAGCATCATCCTCCACCAAGACAATGCAAGCTCGCACACAGCCCAAAAAACAAGGCAGTATTTAACGGAAGAAAACGTGGAATTATTGGACCATCCTCCATATAGTCCCGATCTAAGTCCTAACGATTTCTTTACTATTCCGAAAATTAAAAACAGACTGCGTGGTTAAAGGTTCCAGTCACCAGAAGAAGCAGTTGACGCATTCAAGAATGCCGTTTTGGATCTGCCAGCAAACGAGTGGAATAAGTGCTTCGAAAATAGGTTCGAGCGCATGCAGATGTGTATTAATCTTCGTGGAGAATACTTCGAAAAACAATAAAGTCATTTAAAACTACCTACCGTGTTGTTTGATTTCCATATGCAAAACTTAAAAGACATCCCTCGTAAAGATGAAAGGTGTTCCATGTGTGCATTAAAAATACATTTGCGCAAATTTTCCAGGACAAAAGAAACTGACACCAGAAACGTTCACAATGGCTGTCGATATACTGGACGACGACCATTTCGCAATAACAGCTATAGTTATAGTATCAATGCAATTTATCTACTTTATCATAGCTGCCACTTTTCAAATGGACAAAATTACAGATTTTGCGGGCGGCATAAATTTTGTCGTAGTGGCATTACTTACATTTTTCCTGGGACAAAGCGGAAAGGTAATAATACAATTAAATCTTTTTAATTCAGTTACGGACTAAACAAATTTTGAGAAATTTTTGTAATTTACGTACAGTGCTTTTCAGAAAGGTCACCTCATTACTTAAAAAACTATACGTAAAAATAATAATTGAAAATTTCAAGGTGGCGGCAATGCACTATGTTGAAATATTTTTTTAAACGGATACTTTCTTTTGAAGCGCCTTATGAGTACTTTATAATTCTATAACATAAATTCACCGCCTTTCAAAATGGTAGACTGGCAAGCTGTCAAAGTTGAGCGTTTTTGAACATTGAATCACTTATAATTCAACAGCTTATTATCAGAACTTTATAGTGTGTGTCATATCAATCTTCTTCTTTTGGAAGGGTCTATCTGAATGTTCAATAAAATATAGGCCATTCCATTAAAAAAAGTGACTTTGACATTTTTTTTAACAGAATGTTCATATTTTATTACACATTCGATGGATCTTTCTAAGAAATGAAGACTGATATACTACTACTACTGCGTTTTGATGATTGGTTGTTGCTTTATGAGAGACTCACTGCATTGTACAAAAACGCTCAGCATTGACTGCTTGCCAGATCGCCATTTTGAAATATAGTGATTTTATATTCTACGGTTATAAAGTTGCTTCATAATGAGGTATCACATGACACCTCATTCCTTTGAAAACATATTCCAAAATGACGTTCAGCCGTCATCTTTAAACGATAACGTTTACGGTAAAAGTTAGTATTCATGCGTCAATTCAATTACCCCAAATTTCTGCTTTCTAGCTTGACCCGTTCAAAAAAGGAGAACGAAGAGACCCTTTTGAGAAACACCACATAAATAATATTGAATATGATTTAAGGCGAATGTTACACGATCAGTATTTACTGTGCTCCGTCAGTATATATCATGAAATGTAATATTTAAGGGCCGTGTAGCCTAGACGTCAGTAATAATTATTGCTGTATAAGGTTACGTAGAAATGCAGTGAGCTGACATTGACAGAGATGCCTCAGTAAATGCTGATGATACGGCAGCCGTATGACGTAACTCAAAAAGTGGCATTATAAGGATTTTATGGCATGATGCAGGTTTTTGTGTAAAATGTCACCTTTGCACCAGCTGACATTCACTTCAGGCTCACTTGTAGTAGGCGCGGCACACTAGCGACTACTTAGTGCACAAGTTTTTGACATCATATAGGTTTTTTATGTAATAACCCTGCAGAACTACAGACCATAATAAATAGAGATCGTTTGACATACGCCTGGCGTGCAGTACAGAAACGAATGTGGACGAATGAATTTTGGATTACCACCAAACATTAACAGACATCCACAAGAAAAATAAATACACGAAAAAAAAACATTTTTAAAAACAAGCATTTATTTAGCCTAACTGAAATTCAGAAATAAATTTTTCTCTTGAAAATATGCCATTTTATACTTCTTAAATTTTAAACGATATCGATTCGTCTCGAATTTTCAAATAAAACGTCTTAACAGTACAGGATGTAACAAGCTTTTATAACATTACACACATGTTAACTCAAATCAAAGCCAGTGAAACTAAGTTTTGAGAGGGTTTGATGTTTTTTTGAAAGTTGTGAATGTGTGATAAAAAAGTTATGTACTGACTGACAAACTGACATTCGGACAGACAGAACTAATCGTCGTATTACATGCGCAGAGCTTAAAAGGACGAGACTTACAAAAAGCTTGTTATCTCAATTTCTGTGATTGCAAACGCACTGAAATAGGCGACAGGATGGTAAATCTGTCAACTTACATTAATTTGAAAGATCGCCAGAAGGCTACTATTTTTCATACTAAATCATATTTCAGAAAAGCTACGATAGTCGTCAGCTTATGGTAACAGTGTTTGTATGCCTCTGGGGGGTAAGACTCTCTGGATATCTTGTGTATAGGATTATAAAAATAGGCAGAGATAAACAGTTCGAGGAACGACGAAAAAACAACATCAGATTTGCAGTTTTCTGGACGTTTCAGGTGAAAAAATAATTCATGCAACAAAAAAGGTTTTTAACAATGAATGCAGAGTACATAAGATGTTACAGATCTTTCAGAAAAATTCGGAACGCAAAAATATGGAACAAATTAATATAGAAATGGGTCAGGAAACTCTTTCTTTGTGCTTTTAAGCTTAGTGAAAAATTGTAATCCAATGATTATCAAAAAAATAAGTGTCGCTTTTTCAGAACTATATTGATTCTGCTTGAACAGTGCATCTCAGAGTGTTAAAAAAAGTGCCAGATTGATTATTATTTTTTTATAACGATAAACAGGTTGACTCGTTGGTGTTAATAAACTAATTTGCCGTAAAAAAACTGGAACTGACGGTTTTTAAGTAAATCAATCGAGCTTCAATACACCGAAACTATTTTATGGAAAAAACCAGTAGTGTATTATTTCTTCGCTAAACATAAGGACTTGCCGGCACAAGCGGCACTGATTTAAGTGATTTAGAAATAAATTTGGTACATTTTTATATAACATTTGTGAGCATTAATACCATCTCATCAACCTGTTTTCGGGAAAGATGAACGTTTAAAAACGAACAAGTTTAAGGTTTAAACGAAAGGAAGCACTTCCCATGTTGAGCTTACATATTTTAACATGCTACATCTGCCCTTCAAATTTCTTTAAAATAAATGATGTTTCAGGCTGTTTGGGTTTATGTAGTTAGCCTCCCAGTGATAATAATAAATTCTCCAAGACATTCGATTCCATTAGCTCCAAGGACGATGACCACTCTAGATTCAGCAGGAACTGCCTTATTTATGATAGGCTTATTGGCCGAAACCTACGCGGATCTTCAAAAGTTTTCATTCAGACAAGATACTGCTAACCAGGGAAAATGGTGCAATGATGGTAAGTAACATATATATATTACTATTTCGGTGTTCATGTCTCTATAAATCGCAAAAGTTTTCACAACATGACATCTGGACAACGACAACAGAGCCTTATAGTTTTGAGTTTTAGATCTCCGACCACAAAAGAGGGGTCTTATAGGTGTGACATACGTGATAGGCCTCAAACAGGTGGACCGATTTAAATTTTTCTTTTACTTCATTGAACGATAATCTCGTACTTAATTATGACACACAAAAATTCGTTGACCCGTTTGGAGATGAGGGCTTTGAAATTGCACTTCTCACGCCAACTGGCAAAAATAATAGCTTCAGCTTCAGTTGGCCCACTTGGTAAATTTGCAATTATTGGCATATATTGACGATCATTTAAACTAATAGAAGCATAATTCTTAATTTTTATTTTGCAAACAGCATCTTAAAATTCTATTACACAAAAAAACTAAACCAATTATAACACTTGGAGCTGACTAGAGCGAAAAAAGGGGAAACAAAATTTGTGATTTTTATCTCTAAGAAACAAGAATTCGTAACTCATTTTACCACTGAGTAACATCACCTTTATTTTTAATTACAGCTTCAATTCGTCGAGGCAAAGTATTAAGTCCTGACACTCATCTGGAGTGAAATTAAGATGAAGTCATTTCCAGAGATCCTACTCTGCTCCAAAGTAGGCAACAAAAATTTCTCTGGGATGTCTAAATATTTATCTGAGTTAACAATCCCATTGATAAAATGTAATTTGCCAACTCCTCTTGCCGCCTTTGAAGCCCAGACCATTACTGAAGATGGAAATTTAACTTTGCGCTTGAGACAATCATGATGATAAGTTTCATGTTTTTGGCGAATAACTCTGCTCCGACTTATCACCGACGCAAAGTTCGAATCGTGACTCGTCACTCCAGTGCACACGATTCCACCTCTCCATATCCCAATTTCGATGGTTTTTAGTCCATTTTAACCTGTTTTGCTTCTGCTTTAGGGTCAATAATGGGTTTTCTTTAGCTTGCTTCAAAGGAAACAATAATTATTTCTTGTTGCTTAGGATTGAACTCGTGAAAATTACATTGTAAGTATCATAACCTAGTTTTCTTGCTTCTGAATGACACGTAGACCTGCAAACACGTCTTCCAACAGCTTCACTCCAGAGCACACTCAACTCTCCGTAGTTAGCACGTCTATTAGACTTGATAATTCTGCCCAAAGCTCGTCTATCAGGGTCTGTTAATTTGGATTTTTTTACATATCTGGGTTTTTGAGCAGTAGCACCATTTGATTCGTAAAATCTTACAATATTTCGAACACTGTATCTAGATAACCCGAGCAATATTCCAATTTCAGCCGTTTGATTTTTCCGACTTATGCAAATTAATGATAATTGATCGAATATTTTCATCTATCGCCTTTCCTCTGCCCATTTTTGACTGCAACTACGAGGTAAGGCCGCCTGATAAATTAAGCAAAAACAAGCGAGCGTTGTTGACAAACAAGCATTGTTACCACGTCTGTCATGACAAATCATCGTTAGCAATATTTGGATATTGAAGTTTTTTTACAGTTGTCGAGTTTTTATGATACAACATACTCTATTGAATCCATATATTTCCTAAATTGCTATATATACCATATTTTGTCTTATATCTCACGATATCTTTTATATCTCGTATATTGTAGTGGTTGTTTTCCGATAAAAGTCAAAAAAACTACAAATTTTGTGTGTGGCCAACTGAAGCTGGACAGGGCTCGTAATCGCGGGAAATGCAAAAAAATGAGATTGATAATGATGAATTTTTGTCCCCTATTACTGGTCGCTGGATGACTTTTTCGCTGGGTCATTAAAATATTTTGGAAAATGGTAGTTTGATTTTGACGTCGTCCAATAGTATTAGTAGTATAAATAATATGAATTCTTTAGAATTCATCTTCTGTTAGCCGTCAGAGGAATCACAGATGCATCCTCAGTGGCGTTTTTCAAACTATTTGTTACAACTGTTACAATAAATATTTCAATTCTACGTCTGTGGTTTCATGTGAAACCAGTAGAACATGGATATCAGCGAGACAACCACATGATAAGTTTTAGGAGTTACGACTTCACTTTTTAAATTCGGACCTTCCATTATTCTCAATTTCCAGGTTTGTGGAGGCTATCTAGGCACCCCAATTACTTTGGTGAAATTCTTCTATGGTGGGGCATCTTCACTATATCATTCAACGTTATTGAGGGAATTGAATGGGTAGCTATTCTTTCTCCAACTTTCACAACGTTGATTATTTTGTTCCTATCTGGAATGCCTTTGCTGGAGAAATCATCCGACGAAAAATACAGAGAGTAAGTATTCATTCAGAAGATAATAGAATGTCTTCAGGAAAATTTAAAGGAAGGTTTGTCAAATTAAAACGTATAGCAGATATACAGGGTGTTCCACAACTTATACGACAAATTTTAACCACATATGCACTGTTACGAAATAAGTTGATTTCTCAAAAAAAAAATGTAATAAAAGTCCTACAGAAATTAAGTTATAAACCTGAGTTTCGATAATTAATTGAAAAATAAATATCTGTATTTTGCGTTCTTCGTCGTGATATTAGAACACGCATTAATAATTTATTGTAGCAAATGTTGTACCAAGCAACTGACGAAAAAATCCCAGGAATTTTTTGTTTTTTCATACTGATAAGAACGTGTAAATAACGTTTAATCTGTGTCGTGGGTGATCTGAATGAAGAACGGTCGATTTTTGTGAAGTTAAATAAGAAAGTATTTTGCGAGTTTATGTTTTTAGTTATTTATTATTAAAAAGTCACATGTGTACACTAATGAGGAGTTAGTGGACATTGTCTTAGCGTACGGAGAAGCAGGGCAAAATTCTCGAGCGGCTGCTCGTTTGTATACACACCGATTACCGAATACGCACATACCACATCACGAAACATTTAGTTCAATTGTTTTACGTGCACGTAATTGGATAAGACGCGCCCAAGCTTGCATTGCAGTCAATGGAAACAATTTTGAACAGCTTTTATAAGTAAGTGTTAAACTGTATTATTTTATTATCTCGATTTATGTAGGACTTTTATTACATTTTTTTGAGAAATCAACTTCTTTCGTAACAGTGCATAATGTGGTTAATATTTGTCGGATAAGTTGTGAAACACCCTGTATAGTTGAATAGATTATGGCGAAGGTGCTTATACATATTTACATTGACACATTCACCATTTTTCAAAGTAACCCCCTAGAGTAAAGGGCGTTATCATAGAACATAAAGCCGAAAATGTTTACTCTCTTATAATGCAGGGTGATTAGACTTGTTTGTCTTTTATAGTTCACCTTATATTTCATGAAGTCTGATTGAAACATTATTTCCAATTTCTGAATATATAATATGTATACTGAAAACTAAATACTACTGACGTCGTAATATGTACGAGAGAGAAGCGCGAGAAGCGTGCAATACGTGTGTAAAAAGAGATACAAGCACCTCGTTGCCTAGCAACCCGAGTATGAGGTCACGGAAGACATCGGCGCACTCTTTCTAACATACACATGGCTCGCGTATCACGCTTCTCTCTCTTACACATTACGACGTCAGCCAAATTTGAATCTCACCGTATAGACAGTAATTACAATAAATAACCAGTATAGTTTTCTCGATAAATCAAAGTCATTTTCTCTTGCCTCGCCCCAATAAGCCCAGAGCACTTCTTGAGAGCAAACTTTAAAGAATAACGCTATTTTTTTATAAAAATTGAATAACACGAAATATTTTCATTTGATATTTATTGTGCTTCTTTAACGTACTAGAATACATATTTTTCACGAGATTAGAAGTTAGTATCGCGCGCTTGAAAATTAAAAAATTACTAAATTGCTCATTTTTGCCGTTTTTAGCTATAATTTTTTGTAAGATATATGTGTTCTAACTGTACTTTGTACATATTTTTTGGTCGAAAAATATCTACACTAAATCCTTCATAGATAAAACACATATACTTGATCCCGCACCTTATCGAAGTTCTCTAGATATCGATTAATGCTTTTGGAAGGCGATATATGCTTCCCGATGGGTGTCGAACGCTCCCGATTTCATCGCGAGCAATAACGTTATCTGACTGCAAGCTATACCGCGTAACTCTGGTTGCCCAGGCATCGATATGGAGAGAGCGTCTCACCGTTACTCAATGTCCCAGTTAAGAGGGCGTTACGGTATTCTCTTTGATACGTATTGACTAAATATTTTGTCACATTACAACTTCCCCCGGAATATCATCTATAATCTCTGCCAGATTGCCTGGATTAAATCTTGCTGATACCTTTTTAACGAACATACATACAACATACAACACGCAATTTTCACGCAGAATTAATATGGCTCTGAGAAACCGACACCTATTTTTCCAAATACCAGTGATGCACCATTTTTCCTTGTCATAAAATTTAAACTCCACGTATCATCCAAACCGGGAGTTTCCAAATCCATATGTTTATGCTGTTACATGCTGGGTTCGGACTTGAATTTTCCTGGCGCCATTTTATACTTAATGCTCATCGAAAATATAGGAGGGTATTCACCTACTTCACTTTTCGCTTTCAGCATATCAGACTACCGGTTCTATAAGTCTTCCACCTCACCTTTAATCCCCATTCCACCATCCGTATACGTTGAGGTACCCCAATTCCTCAAATTCCTCATTTGCTGCGAGTTCCCAATGTACAACTACATGGAAGAGAAAGTAAAGACCTCCCACATCATCGAATCCGCCTCGACTTCGTTAGCACCTTCACAAACATAGCTATAGCTATATTCTGTTGGTTGTAATGATCAACAGATGAACCCGGGTCCTGGAACCGTTAAAAAAGCTCCAGGCACTGGGGGCTTGGAAAACAATAAGGTGCAAGTTACGGCTGTTTGAAAGAGATAGGTAAAGCGTTAGGATGGATATTCTAAAACTAGATTAAGATTGTAGTTGTACAGACTATTTTCTATCAGTTTAGGTTAATTTTAAGTAGTAATAATATTCTTGGGCTTTGCTGTTGCTATCTAAAGTCAGATCAAATTGCTTAAGCGTTGCTGCTAAGTTGCTAGTTTTGTTGGTCTTTAATATCACCTTCAAGTGTTTTTTGGGCAATGGTTGAAATGTTCAGACTTTTTACGTCATGATGCAGATCGTATAATTCCTAATGAAGTACATATTCCCCAGCTAGACAAAATTCCAATTTAATAAATGAAATTGAGTGTTTGCGTCAACATTTCTAAGTATGTTGGGGTTCATCCTCGTTTTTTCGGTTGATTATTGGACATTGTTTTTTTTATACTCCAACTATCACGAAGGCCTAAGGCCTAAGCACCCATTGGGTACCGTGGGGCTATAGGGGGATACATGGGAAAGGGGGATCGCCACACGGACTCTGGCGAGGGAACACGTGTGCAGAAAGAGAACTTTGTATTTTCTTTTCCGAAGAAGGAGTCGGCCAATAGGATTTGATTTTGTTATGTAATACTGTGAATGACAGTGAACATGTCACGTTCCTCAGATCTGACGAAAGCCCAACGTCCATGGTAGAAGTATGTAGAAAAGCTTATTACGAACAGCTTTGACGCGAAAGTATCAGGGCCTATTAGCGGCGGTTTTGGTCCTGAAAATAAATCAAATTTAAAGTTGATCGCTTTTGTGAAATGTTCTATAATGGAACACACTAAAATACAAAACATGTATAAAAATAAAAGTGTTGTTCCAGTGCGCACACATTAAAAACAAGATTTTAAAAAATCTGTACACAATTACAATAAGACTTCAGCTTTTGTTTTTAATGTGAGCGTAGTGGAGCAACACTTTTATGTTTATGTGTTATTATCATATTTATGTTAGTGTGTTTTATTATAGTCTTGTAGTAAAAAGAGCTGCGATCATGCGCGCATATAAAAATTCAAACACGGGTGGATGGTAAAATTGCGACCGTGTGTTTAAAAAACAATCAAGAATTAAAATAGAAAAGAACATATTTCTGAAAGTCTAAAATACATATCGTCTGTCTCTGCACGTACAGGCGTAAATGACAAAAAAAATCTAAAATCGAGTTACGCCGTAATTTCACAAAATTCTCTCTGGTCTTAATGTTTCAAGTCTTGCCACTTCTTATCCATAGAAAAAATCTTAGGACTTATGATAAACTTTTTGGAGGCAAATATTGACGTGTCGATTTTTTTTGGAAAACAACCCATTATTATCAAGATGTTCTATGTACTATGTACCTTTCTACGAAAAAATATCAAACGTCATCTATTATTGACACATCTACATTGTTCTTAATAAGCCCAAGAATTTATTACAAAAGAAGTAACGGAATCACAGAGATATCTATTTGAAGCTATCTAAAAAGAGATTAAGGTTGTAAACGAATGAAAGTTTATAAATGACATATATATATATATATATATTTTATTTTTGAAACAGGGATGCTTCTTACAGTGCTCCTAGTATTCAAATAGTTTCTGAATTGTGCCATGCTTAGAATGAGAATAACCTTATTATTATAGTTTCTTTGAAACAATAAAACCATTAAAAAATCTGATATTTTCATATTTGTCCAGAAAGGAAATCACTTGTAGTTTCCTTAAGCTCTCATCGTGTCTAGAATACCGATTTCAGCTAGATACTTAATATAGTTGTCAGTGGCAGATCTAAGGTGAGGGTAAACATAAATTATTTTGCCAAAATCATGATGCCCTCCGGTCTTCGTCTATCACCAACAAGGTCCCGTGCGGACTTAGTTCTTCGGACTCTAAATATCCGCCACTGATAGTAGTGAACAAAGGTTTTGCATATTAATAGATAATCTATCCAATAAAACGCCGAAATAGAGCCAAACTTTGAAACTTCGTGAAGCTAACTAAAAAAAAGTTTGGCTTAAAAATATATGATCAACGACATGTTACATTTGAAACTTTCACTATCTGTTTGCAAATTCAACTATTCGATTACAATTTTGTGGGATAGAGGTATAATTCTGAAATAAATAGCATCTAACAAAAGAAAACGATTCCGAAACTTTTATTTATCACAAGAACTATTAAGTTATAGAGATCAGTAAGCATGCTAGGTACTTAAAAATGTAGAACTGTTGTAGCCTAAGTGCCAAACGATAATGAGCATATTTGTATGAAATAAGAAGTTCGATATAGCTGTACGTAGCAGAGGTGAAAGTAATTTATTACAATGAAAAATAACGATAAAATAAACGTGGGAATTTTAAGTATTGAGATAGGCCAGTTATTTTGTGAACCTTGTTCTTGCTAGACTTATAGATAGTTCCTTATCACAAACGATCATAACAGTTAAGTGCCAATACAAAGACAGTAATATTTATATCAGAGGAGGGAAGTGTTACATGATGAACTGCCCTACCAATGTTATCACTTCAGTCGTTCTATAGTGTATGGCTGTATGGTACGGATTTGACTGATTCGAGAGATTACCCAGATAACACGGGTAGCACCAAAGGCGTACCGAGAGGGGGCAAAGGCAAAAATTAAATGGAGAGCATTTCTTATAAAAACGGAATTATTCATGAACCCGAAACTCCATAATTTGAATCAACATATATTAGATGAGAAATTACTAGGATTAGTTGAAAAAAGCACTATATACAGGGTTATCCAAATTAAGTGTCCACCATTGGTAACTTTCTTATTAGTAAAAATACAAAGTTGTTTAAATTAGCAAACTAGTAGCATTTTTAACGCTGGTAAAAATGAGAAATAAAAAAAAACAATTGAGAGTCGTTATTTTGAATTTTTTCAGTAAAATAACATTTTTTTAAATGGAAACCCCTGTATATTATATTTTTTTCTGTTAAAGCATCAAATTTTAAACAAAAAAGTTCATAATGACTTTTCCGCTAAAGTCAAAAATAAAGTCAAAATAACGATAAATATTTTTAATTATTTGCAGTATTATAATATTAAGACGGCTATGAAAACAACATGGCGTTCGCGATTTGACAGCATTAAGATAAGCGACAAATTGTTAAACTAGACATAATCGCAACTAGAAGGCTTTGGAAAACAATGATAAAATCAAATAATGTCAAACATTAGTGTAAATACTTGTTTACAAGCTTTATTGTGTCATTAATTTAAAGAAAAATGTTCTCCCATGAAGAAAAGTGTGATATGTTAGAATGCTATTTAGTGTGCAGAAAATCCTTCTTGAGAGCAAGAGAATACTACAGTGAATTATATCCCGCTCGCATTCAACCGTATGAACGATATTTTCTGAGACTTTATCGAAAATTTAGGGGCAACGAAAATGTTTTTGCTAAAACAAGGGCAAAAAAAGAATTCATAATAAGCCAGGCCACGGAAATTGCAGTTATTGGATATTTTGAAGCTTATCGTGAGAATTCAATAGCAGATATTCTCAAGGACTCTAATTTCAGTTATGGTACTGTTCAAAGGATTTTAAAAAAATGCAAATTTATTCCGTATAAGTACCGACCAGTTCAAACGCTTTTGGCAGGGGATCCAGAGAGAAGACTTGTTTTTTGCCATTGGTATCTTAGCTTCTGTCGCCAAAATGTAAATAACTTTCGTTACCTTTTATGGACAGATGAATCAAATTTTTCAAATTCTGGAATGTTTAATATAAAAAACCACCATTATTGGTCAAGAGAAAATCTTTTGTTAGTACATCCAAGAGGCCCACAAGTCCGTTTCAGTTTCAACGTTTGGTGCGGTATAATTGGTTCAAAAATTGTTGGCCCGTTCTTTTATGAGGGAACCCTAACTGGTGAAAGATATGTGGAATTTATGTCAGAAATTCTGACTAATTTCTTAGACGAATTGGATCTTATAAGTAGACATCATCTGCATTTTCAGCAAGATGGCGCACCTGCCCACAACTCCAGAGGTACTTATCATTTTCTAAGTACTACTTTTAATGATCAGTGGATAGGAACAAATGGCCCAATACAGTGGCCTCCCAGATCACCAGATCTAAACCCACTTGATTACTTCTTGTGGGGTTACTTAAAGAACCAAATTTACAAGCGAAGGTACGATAACCTTGACGCGTTAAAGACTGCAATTAGGGAAAAGATAACCCAGATAGATGGTAGGACCATACTTAAGACAGTTCGAGCAGTTGAAAAACGTGCCCAAAAATGTATTGAAGAACAAGGTGGTGTTTTCGAGCATCTTCTTTAAAAAAAATTGTTATTGTATTTTGTAAGATTATAAGTTGATGTTGAAAATAAAGTTTGTCGATACAATTTAATTGTTTCAGATTGGAGGCCATAACTTCAACAATTTGTAACCTAGGAGAAAAGTTATTGTAAGCTCTTTTGTTTAAAATTTGATGCTTTAACAGAAAAAAATATAATATATAGGGGTTTCCATTTAAAAAAATGTTATTTTACTGAAAAAAATCAAAATAACGACTCTCAATTGTTTTTTTTTATTTCTCATTTTTACCAGCGTTAAAAATGCTACTAGTTTGCTAATTCAAACAACTTTGTATTTTCACTAATAACAAAGTTACTAATGGTGGACACTTAATTTGGATAACCCTGTATTCTACGTGTGTTTCAAATTCGAACATAGCGTATGGGATCTGGGAAACGATAAAGAGAATGTCTCACCATCAGTATCTACTGTGTTCCATACCATCAGTGGATTTCTACGTAATATTATGCACCAATATCTACTGACGTCCAGGCTGCACGTTCAACAAATATCACATCTCATGATAAATATAATGACGGATCACAGCAAATACTGATGTTGTGACATTCGCCTAAGCGACACCAACTACTTTATGGGAACAAAGAAAGCAGTATTTCCGAATTTAATCTGTTAGGCGTAGTAATTTTTCCCTTTTCAAACATCCACATTGTCCTACAAATTTCAAACATATTACACAATAACATTACCATTTTTTCTCTTCTACACGGCTGCGTCATTAAAATTTCGTTTAGTTAGTTTTTTAAAGCTAACCGTTTTCGATGTCGTGATTATTACGATTGAATAAGATAAATGAGTAACGTTATGTTGTTCCTCATTCGATGAGTTTAAACCAACTACATCAGGCGCTTGAAATTTTATATCAATGCCTAACATGTTATTTGATACTCTATGAAATAAATGACTATATGATAATTCACTCATGAAATTTTTGTTATAATCATGTATGACATTTGAAATCAGATATAAAAGCTATTAGCCAATGCAAACATGGCATACATGATAAAAATCAAAGTTGAGACTGGGGATAAGATAAGATGTTCTATTTATGCCACCTTGCAGAGAACAAAGGGTAGCAATGTTAATGTGCAGTTTATTTTGAAATCCTATCTCAAATAAATTCAGGTAAAAAATTAGAAACGATTTTGGGAAAATTTGTTCCCTAAAATATATAAATACGCAACTTTCCTATCATTCAACCGAACTGTATCTCTTACCGAAATATGACAAAGTTGTTTTTCAAATCATTCTGGAACAAACTAGGTAGATATCCTTCTAAATATTGTATAATACTATTTTTGGCTATATGACGAAATTTCAAGCAATTGTACAAAAGCAACAAATAAATATCAACAAAGAGAAATTATTTCAGGATTTAGTATAATAATTATGCTGTATCCCAGGCTGTATATTCCTTTGAAGTGGCATATTAGAATATATTACATATTACACCATTTAAAAAAATCGTTACTGTTGTCATGTCGGTATCAGCCTGTGGCTTTAACTTTTGGCTACTATTTAATATTTACTCTTAGAGAGGTAAGGCCTTAGAATTCACTCTAAGGAACATATAAATTCTTCTGTGCAATTTCTTTCACAACAGGGCTCACATTTGGCTAGTTAGTGAAATGAGACTTGTGACGTTTCTAGATCAGCAGATTCACGATTTTTCAACGCTGATTCCACTCCACATATTTTCGAATAACACCTCGTGTTGCTCGTGCTGTATTTGGAGTTATACAAAAGTGTCTGCATGATTAGAATTTGAAAAACGAGTTTTGCCAGATTTCAGGATCTTTGAATACTTCAAATAAACTTGGTATCCCCCAAGAAAATTTTTGACTGAGTTCAAAATCATCAGAACAGAAAAAAAGATAAAGTGAAGTTTAAGGCAGTTAAAGATGTTTTGGCCATTATACTGGTACCATTGGATAGGCCTTTCAAAATTTCTTCAAAATCCAATGATGCTTT